AAAGGGCAAGCCAAGAGTGAATCATTTTAGTCGCTGGTTGGGAGCCTGTTGTGATAGCAAGGTGCAGTCGTCCTGATATCTGCTTTGCTGTTCACAAGGCAACTAGGCAGACACACAAGCCTACGACAAAGGACTGGAAGATCGCAAAACGTATTGCATGATACTTGAAGATGTCGAAGGGCTTGAAGTTGCACCTCAATGGTGTCGGACCTACATCCAATGATTTTCGGGTCGAATGTTGGAGCGATGCCGATTTCGCTGCCGACAAGTCTGATCGCAAGTCAGTCTCCGGGTGTGTCCTCACTATGGACGGAGCCGTCGCGATGTGGACGTGCAAGAAGCAGTCCGGGGTGTCGTTGAGCACGATGGAAGCGAAGTTCATCTCTGCGTCACAAGCGGGACGTGAATTGCTGGGCCTACGGGAAATACTCGGCTAATTGGAGCTGAAGATAAGTGAGCCCATGCCGATGTGAGTTGACAACCAAGCGGCAATCATGCAAATCGAGTCCGAGAAGAGTACCTCAAGCGCGAAGCATGTGGACATCCGTTTCAAGTTCATACTCCATCATGTGCGTGTAGGTGTCGTGCAACCAAGATTTAACAAGTCTGAGGACATGATGGCGGACATGTTGACCAAGGCGTTACCGGCACAAAGGATGGAAGACCTGCGAACGATGTTCAAGTTGAAGACCATCCAGGATGCAGTCGAGGAGTAGTGTTAGAAACGATCGTTTTTTGAAAGGTTGCAAGGTGTTGAAGGCAAGGGCTATACCCTGTGCCCGGTAAGTTGCGACCGCACCCAAATTGGCTAATGTTGTGACATCTTAACAGATGTGGCGAAGCGGGATAGACGAAGACTACAGACTAGACATGGTATATAGTCGCAGTTGACTCTATCGTACATGTTAGAGCACTAGCGAAGGAGAGTAGTTAATGCTTAATATATTTTACTTTTACTTCTACCTCTACGTGCACAAGTGCACCACTACTTCACTCCACTCTTACAGAACGGTGTATGCGTCGTGGAAGCATGCACTGAGTTGTTGATGTCGAATTCGACCATCGACAAGAACTCACTCGAACTCGTAAACGAGTGGATGTACCCTTGAAGAATCTCTTCGAGGACGCGATTGGCGCGTTCAGTCTGACCATCAGTTTCTGGATGGTCAGAAGTAGACATAGTGAGCCGTGTTCCAAGTGTTTGGAACACGAAACGCCAAAACTCAGCCGTGAACCGGGGGTCCCTATCGGACACAAGTTCACGGGGTAAACCGTGCAATCGAAAGATTGTATCGATAAACACTCGAGCACATCCCTCTGCTGTGATCGACTCAGGTACAGCAACAAGATGTACCATCTTGCTGAACCTGTTTACAAACACGAGAATACCATTATTCCCGTGAGCGTCTTTGGGAAACCCAAAGACGAAGTCCATTGATACGGACTCCCAGCACTCTTCCGGAACAGGTAGAGGCTGCAATGGTGCACGGAGTGAAGGACTAGGCTTCACTCGTTGACACACCTCGCAAGCACGCACGTACTTGCGCACGAACTTATACTGGCGTGGCCAGTAAAAGTCGCGACTGACCGTGAGGTAAGTCTTCTCACGGCCACGATGCCCACTTATTGGTGCATCGTGACATTCAAACATGATCCGTAACCTGAGATCATGTTGTGGCGGTACAACGACACGAGGCGTACGGCTGTGTAGTACAGTAAGCCGTCCCGCTGGGTGTATCGATCGAGAGAAGATCGATACATGGCAGGCAAGCGCTTCTTAGCTTGCTTGGATGGGTCCTTTAGGTACTCCATCAGGCGTACAAGATCATTATCTTGTGCGCATTGCCATTCTAATGTCGTCGAGTAAACTCTACGACAAGACGCTGGTACTCAGCGTGGCGACAGTGGTGTTCACATCACTGTCGGATTGCACAGTCGGCTCTAGATCAGCCCGACGTGAGAGGGCATCGGCGACGACGTTAAGTCGTCCCGGCTTATACTTTACGGAGAAGTTGTACTCCGCGAAGAACGACAACCATCTCGCCATTCGTTGCGAGAGTTGTGGACGGTTTACAGCCGTGCGTAATGACGCATGGTCTGTATACACAATGAACGGTCTATATCCTAAGAGATAGACGCGAAACTTATCCAGTGCATGGCAAAACGTTCCTTGTCATGCACGAGGTAGTTGCGCTCAGCCGGTTGCAGCTGACGCGATTGATAACAGACGACACGCTCTGCACCGTCTATATCATATTGCATCAGAGCACAGCCGATTGCAAAATCGCTGGCATCACAGACCACATAAAATGGTCTGTCTTGATCTGCAATCGCCAATACTGGCGATTGCATCAAGCTTTGCTTAATACGTTCAAAAGAACGCATACAGTCAACGTATCAATTCCACTTTACATTTTGCTTGAGTAAACAAGAAAGATGTACTGTCATGTCGGCGCAATTGCGCGAGTACTTGTGCAAGTACGCCGCTAGCCCAAGGAACTTCCTTAGTCCCTTGACATCGACTGGCACTGGCCAGTCGGTGATCACCTTGATCTTTTCTGGATCAGGGGTCATAACCTCGTACTCGAGCTCTATAGACCAGTATAGTTTAAGTCGACCTTTCGGAACCTCAGGGACTATGCTTCTATTTTTTCAATAACTATGAACATAGGATTAGCTTTAGAGTTCGCGTTAGTGGGGCATCCCGTCCCTACTGCACTTCTGGCAGTGGTCGATGCTAGATCCGTGCGTCGTGCACGCCGGCTCTTCGCGCCTCCCTTCGGGTAAGGAGCCTTCTTGATGGGCGTCTTAGCCCCAGCAGGAAGTGTGGCATAGCAGAAAACCATCACATGGCCGCACTTGTCCAGACCACGTCTGCATTTCCCAACTTCATTGGAGTGGCATCCGACTTTTCGGCCAATGGCTTATAATAGTTGTAAGCTGTCGCCGAGGCACTGTTGTAGCATTGCTCCTCCATCAAGGCAAATTTTTCCCATTATATCTTCCATCGTCTTTGGCATTTTCTAAAAATAGCCAGACGCGATGGGTCGTACCATAGTCCGTTCATGAACGTATACACCTTGATGTGTTCCGTTATCGGACCCACAGTAATGGGATGCCGACAGAGAGCGCATCTCCTGCACATACTCTAGCAGAGACCGATTCGTCTGTTGCGCTCTAAAGAAGGGCGCCTAAAGCAACACTTCGTTCTTCGGCGGTGACATATGACGCGAAGCTTTATCTTAAATTCCGCCCATGTAGGGAATGCCTTCGTGTTCACCATAAGCGCCAAGTAAGCCTACTCTGAGGCCTTACCGCGAAAATGGGACATGGTGTCGGGTGTCGTCCTCGATGAGCTGAGGCACACCGCATTGCTCCACGGCCAGCAGCCAGTGGACAATCGTGTGAGCTGTAGTCCCATCAAGCTTCGGAGGGTCCATCCGAATGAGGCTAGGCGGATTAAACCGGGCAGAGAGTTTCTCAACAGCCCTATTGCGAGCCTCGTTCCGAGCATGCTCACGCAGCAGCTCGTCCTGAGTCTTACTGATGGACTCAGTCGCAGCATGGCTATCTGCCTCGGACGCGGACATTCGCTGGTCGAGCACAAAACACCTCAACTGCTCCAACAGAGAAACACGAAGCTCAGGTGAACTACCCACGAGATTGGCCAGGGCTTACTCACCAAGTCCTTGACCTAAATGCTCAGCCACCTTGGAAGAGGTAAAATCATCGAGCCCAATCGACATTGAGGCTCATCCTCGTTAAGACGCTTAGAGAGACGGGTCGTGGGAAGGACTACTTGTGCTACCATGCACTACACGCACTACACGCACTACACGCACTACACGCACTACACGCACTACACGCACTACCTGTACTACACATAAGAAGAAGCAAGTAGACCGTCTTCTCTCGCGTGCTGGAAGGTAGAGAAGACGGTCTAACCGCTTCGTCATGCGTGCAAGAAGGTGTGCGTGGCAGCTTCTATAAGCGCCAGTCTACAATTGCACTTGAGTGTGGGTCTAGCATCCTGTGCTAGAAGATACGAAAGTACTTGACTGCTTTGAACGATCGCAAGCATCTTTCGTAGCTTCTCCATTTAAGCGGCGATAGTGATGTGGTTTTTGAAGCTAACTGACCTGTCCTCTTACCTATAGGAGATTTGTCTCGTTTCACTTGCTTCGGCACCTAGGATGAAAGCTCCTGCAACCGGCGACTGGCCTGATCTCGGTGGACTTGGCCGTGCTGGTGCAACTGGACAGACAAACGATGGGATCTTATCGGCTCTAGAAAATCCATCCTGAGTAGCATTCTTTCACCACCACTTGCTTATACAACGCAATTGAGTACGGCGATTGCATGGAGCTGGTCACCTCGGTGTCGGCTCTCGGAATTATCTAGCTATTGCGCGCTGACATAGCATCGGACGGGTTCCTTGAGTTTCGTTTCGACTCGCCGGAACTCTCGCTTCGCGACGGCTCGAACTTGTTTCATGCTACTTTCTTAGAATTGCTTACCATTGCCGGCCATGGTCACGTCCGCTTGCCGAAATGTCACTTGGTAACGAGGAGCCGGCGTTGTAAACCAGGTTTAGGATCTACCAGACAAAAGATTAAATAGACCTGTCTGCTTCTCTCTCTTTCTCGGATCTTTACTGTTTATATTCGTAGCGAAGGTTGGTACCGTAGTCACTTGCGTTGGACCTTATTGGCAATGATGACCTCATATGGAAGTTTGAAAACATCATTTGCATAGTGTTTCGGTAAACTGGATACTGTACCAGCTGAGCAATGCGTCAGAAGTGTCGCTATCAATGATAGCGAGCCGCGTGCTGCGAAACTGTGCTCTCCCCACACGTTGATTTCACCAGAATGGGGCACCAGATCGTGTAGAGTAAAGGAGCGAATTCTGGAGGGCGCGTTAACGGACTGCTGGGACGCTAGTTCGACTTTTGACTGATGATGATGTCATTGTAGAGCCTGGCTTGCCGTCGTGTGACTTCAGCTGGATGGGTGACTACACGTCAAAGCAGCCGTGGCCGTCGACGAAAACATTCGCAGTGTTGGAGCGATAATACTCTTGAGTGTGAAGGCCACCTGCATAGAGCTTGGACGAGAGTCTGGGTCCAACTGGGTGCAATCCATAATCATCTTGTGAAGAGCGGCTGGGCAATCCTTGCGCAGCGATACACGAATTTCGCCCAACCGTGCGAGTTGAGCCAGTTGCATCCCTGGTAACCGCTCGCCCTTGTCGGAAGTCACGTCCGAGAACGGTGCTTCGCAGGTATCCATTTCAGACAGCACGACGCCCAACGAGTAGATATCCGCCTTCTCCGAATACTTTTTGCCTTCGATAATCTCGGGTGCCGTCCATAACAACGTACCTACGCCTGATGTCATAGTCTCGTTAACATATGTCTTGCGACTGACGCCAAAGTCACTCAGTTTCGCGTGGAACGAGCGATTGAGCAGCACATTTTTGGACTTGAGATCGCGGTGCACAACCGCAGGCCTCAAAGAGTGCAAGTACACTAAGCCCTCGGCTACATTCATAGCAATGGAGATCTTCTCGCACTGCCATGAGAACTTCTCTCGATTTTTCTTAAGCACCTCATCCAAGTCGCCCGCATCCATGTACTCCACCACGGCGCATAAGTTTTGCAGCCGGTTCCAGCTCACGCCTACGAACGAAACGATGCTGCGGTGTTGCAGTGTGCACATGAGCTGAATCTCTCCAGCGAATTGCTCTAGACTGGCTGTGAACTGGCATTTCTCCGGCAGTAAGCGTTTAATGGCCACATGTCGTGTCTCGAGTTGGCCCAGCCACACTTCACCATAAGCCCCACTGGACAGGAGACGTAGAAACGTGAGCTCGTCAAAGGCGATACGCTTGGTGAAGATTTCAGGATCCTGCATAAAATTTGTCAAAGCTTCGGACTCGCTGCAATACTCACTTACCGTTTTCCCCCCCACTCCGGTCCCCATCCTGGTTCCTATCATGGATGACAGGCGGCCGTACACTGTCGATTCGCGACTGCTCGCGTTGCCGAACGTATACCACGACGATCTCCGACCTCGATTAGTCTGCACATTCACGTTGGTGGCAACATTTAGCGAGTTGAGGCTAGTGTTAGCCTCACGTCTCCCAATTACCCGTGGAAAAAATCCCGTTCCTGTTCGCGTTGCGTTTGCTGCATATGCTGCTTTGGGACTCTGCTCCTCGCTCGTTCTTACTACTGTAATCTCTGGCGTCTGTCCAGCATCCTGCAATTTCCTCTTGCGACAACAGCAACAGATGCCTCCCACCAGGAGAGCGAGAAGTACACCACCTCCGATCTCCGCCACCCGATCCATCTCGCTGTCGCCACCCGACGATGCGTCAGCACTTGATTGCTTGATCACTTGCACTGTCCTCGCCAACCCGAGAATCCTTTTCATTCTAGCAGCATTGACAATTGGCTTGCAAAATCTTAACGCGCCGTTTGATCCTGTAGTCTTCACATCCTCTAACCGCATACACGGAATAACTGTATCCACTGTGTTACCACTCAAAACACAGGCGTCATCATTACGCATATGAATTGAATACACCTGCAACGTTGCCTTGGTATCCGTTAGCGTGATGTTGTGCTGGAAAGCCTGAGGATACGGAATGGTGCTGGCAGACGCTGCCGACGACCAGAATGATGTGCTCCTGACTGGCTGTAGAGTCGTCAATACTCCGTTTATTGCACACTTCAATAAACTCGTCACATTGGCCACACAGTTGACGTTTGTCGCCTGGTAGCACGAGCCGCAGCTCGCCACTTCACACTGACTCGCTCCATCTACAAACTCGTCGTATGGGATCCCCACGTCCGCCATCGCCACGCCAGTTGTTGCATCATCATTACATCGAGTATAGACCTCCATAACAGTATTTCCAGCTTTGTTCCCGTTGGTAGAACCGCCTGAGAACACGTACCCGTGTGCCCATAGCAGCCCTACTTTTGTGGCATCGTTCAGGTCGTTCCATGTCATTTCAGAGTACGCAGACAGCGTGGCTGCAACGTCACTGGGTACATCTTTTTCTGTAGGTATTGTGAGTACTGCTGTGTCGCTCTGAAGGTTCTCACAACGAGCTAAAATGTCAGATGCAGCAGATATCGGCAGGTTTTCGCATATTGCGACGGCTGTAGATGCAATTAGAAGATGAATCGTGCGTCGTCTGCAGCGCAAGATGATGCTGCACATGATGGACGTTACAAGGAGGCAAGAAATACACCACAGACGCACACAGAGAGAGATGCAGTGCGTCACTAACCGACCGTAGTAGCGTGATGAACAATATTAAGAGAACGGCTGCTATTGGCTACTCTTTAATAATAGATCATGTAAAAGTAGTATACTACTTTTACTGTAGATAGAGTACTTTACTATATAAAAGTTGTACGGGTTTTATTGTGTCAGGACTGTTACTACTGACGATGTAATACCAGCAACCAAGTAGACAGATTTAGTAACGTGGATGTTGTCAAAGTCGTTTCAACTTAGCGTATATATGCGAGTTTGTACCTCTATTCTCCGCAAGTGAATTCATATCATGCTCTCCGAAAAATTGCATTCACCTCATCCTGATAAAAATGGCCTGTTCGTCTCTGTTTTCCCTTCTTTTTCTTCATCTTTCGTTGAAATCTTTGCTTTTCCTTGGCTATTGCTTGATCCCGGAAAGATTTCGTTTCTAGCGCAAACTCCAGGTCTTCCACGTTTTCATACATGAAATCGATCAGTGTATCGGCGTCCATGCCAACGGGAACGAGGATCCCCATTCCCTCCTCCGGAGCTTCTTCGTCCCAAGATACTTGAGGCTCTTTAACGTCCGTATCGGCAGTAACCAAAAGCGTGACTTTGTTCCACACGAGACTGTGCAGACGTAGTTCCATAAAATTGACAAGCAAAAAGTTGGCGATCCAATGGAACGCACTATTTTTCATATGCGGGTCACGAAATTTTGGCAGGAAAAGTCTCGAGTGAAGTAAGCTTGTCAGCACAGCGTGTTGCGTTGCTACAGGAAGCAGCAGCAAAACAACAACAAATGCGATGATTAGCTTAACTTCCCCTACAAACATCGACAGTAGCAGTGCAAAACGTACTCGGTCCGTCTTCCAAGCCTGTCGTTGCTTCATGCACGATATTCGTTTCGTGTGTGAGCATCGCGTGGTAAATTTTATCAAACTGTTCATGCTCCCGTTTCTTAGCTCGGTTTTGTTCTCCGACATGGATGCCATGCAGATCTGCCTGGTCTACAACCGTAGCTTCCTCTGCTAGCCACTCCGCCAGCGCACTTGTTCTCACATTGTCCTCTTCTGTCACAACAAGTGGCACGTGTGCCGCCTCGAACAGGTCCTGCAGAATTCGTTTCGTCGTGCGCTGCCACTCCCGCGCAAAAGGTGCTTGCAATGCAGCCTTCGGATCACGAGCACTTATCGACAGTCCAAAATTAGACAGCGTGCGCTTCACTAGTCGACCAGGGACCTCAATAGTGTACTCAACTCGAATGAATCCATCCACATGCTCCAGAGCCTCGATCTCGTCCACTGGGACGTGAAAAACCAGCGGAAATCGCACTGGTTCCTCTGAAATGACTTGACGACTCTCTCTTAGCGCCAAAACGTGTTTACGAGCATTAAACGCGTCGTTATTGCAGCCAAAAGCGGCGAGTTCCAAGAAAACATTGAGTTGCTTGAGTGCCTCTTCATTTTCTTGTGCCAGCGATGGCATTTGGCGCTGCACCGTGTCGGGGTGCAGTCTTAGAAGAATCGGAGACGCATACAGCGTGAGATTCAGTCGCTTACCGCTGCGGATGACTCGGGACGTCGAAAAGTTGCGGCGTAGCAGAGACCCCAGTAATGGAGCTCCTCGCCCCAGCATGGTGGCTTGAATGGCTGGGGATTGGCTGAAAAGGAAAATCTGTGAATGATACATTATTGTCATACAATTATTATTATCATTAACACAATTACAATTACTATAATCAGTTTTGTTATTTATGCAAAGAAAATAAATAATATTAATCTAAATAAAAAATATAGGCTAAAAAAAATAAAAGATATATTACAAGATGAGTAAACAAAAATACGAAAACAAACTGTACGACAAAAAACTAAACATTATACACATACGTATACACAGACGGATACTATACGTAACGCATGACAAAAAAATAAGTACCTGTGTCACACTTATCACTGCGCAGGTGAGTGTCGTTGGTCCTGTAATACAGGAATACAGAGTAGGGAATAGAGAACACGGAACACTTGCTTCCCACTGAGCAACTTTGGGATTGAGGAGGGAAAAACCTCGTAGGTGACAACCCCCTCTGTTAGACTAGACTACAGTAGATACCAACAGGTATACCTCAACTGTCAACTGTAACGATGCGTCCCAGCATCATACGACTAACTGTTCGGTGTCCCACCTAGAATCAGGGACACGACATCTTGTACTTCGTCACACTCCCACTTCGTTGTTTCTGATGTCTTGTGGTGTGGTAGTCGTAGGCACTGGTACAATATTCAACATATGCCGTAACTTCTTAAATTGCGTCGGGCCAAGAGGCTTGGTGAAGATGTCTGCCACCATGTCTTCTGATGGGCAGTATACCAAAGCAAACTCGTCGTTCTCCACATAATCTCTTATCTTGTGGTACTTGAGATCTACACTCTTCACTTTGTAGTCCCCTGTGTTTGCTTCGATCACTTTTATAGCCGCTTGATTATCTTCATATAGAATAGTTCTTTTGCGCCTCACTCCAAGCTCTTTACACATATTGTGCGTCCACATTATCATAGTGCTGCATTCAGCCGCAGCCACAAATTCGGAACAGCATGTATCATCTGTAATCAATCTTTGTTTATGGCTTGTATATGCGTAAGTACAACCCTCCATTTGTAGTACATATCCAGTCACAGAGCGTCGATCATCTCTTTCATTTCCCAAATCAGCATCAGCATATGCCACAATCTGCACGTCGATTGTAGGTCTTGATGCGTTTACATACACATCCTTCGGTACTCTTGTCTTGTTAGACAACGTCCAAAGTAGTCCGTAGTCAGATGATCCTCTCAAATAACGGAGCACTCTTTTTACCAAGACATAGTGCTCTCTCGTATAGCAATTCAGAAATTTGCCCAACGTTCGCACTGCGTTGGCAATATCTGGACGCGTGCATTGGACTAAATATTGTAACGATCCCACAATTTGGCGATAATCCATATCTGGATCTGGGTCTACACACACTGGTTCCACATCCGGTTTTCCTGGCATCGGAAAGTTGCCTTGCACTTGTGGTGTAGGAACAGGCTTACACTTTGTCATTTTAAACCGTGTTAAAATCTTCTCCATGTAGCCGTGTTGGGTAATCGACATCCGACACCCTAGTATGTATGATATCTCCATTCCAAGCAAATGCTTTACAGGACCCAAGTCCTTAATTTTAAACTTGCTTCGCAGCTGTACTAAAACCATCTCAATGTCGGATTCCGTTCCCACAATTAAGAGATCATCCACATATACGGTAATGTAGACTTTGTTCTCTCCCACTGTTCGCACATATACACCTGCATCCATTTTCGTACGTCGAAACCCGCACTTCCTTAAATACTCATCCAGCATTTTGTACCAGATACGAGGTGCTTGACGTAATCCATATAGACTTTGTAACAGCTGGCAAACGCGACCAGAACCATCATTAAAGTAATCGGGCTGTTCCATATAGATATCTACATCATCGAGAGGCCCATTCAAAAATGCTGTCACAAAATCAATTTGGCGACAAGGCAGGCCCAAGAACAGAGCGAGAAGCAAAACAAATTTCACGGACTCAGCCTTCGCTACTGGAGCGTAGGTCTCCCAAAAGTTGACACCAAACTCTTGCTGGCATCCCTTAATCGTAATTCGCGTGCGATACCGGCACACGTCGCCTTGCGCATTTCGTTTGCGCAAAAATATCCACTTATTCTTTAGAATCTTTACCCCCGAAGGCCGATCCACTAGCTCCCATACGTGATTACGCATCAATTCGCCATACTCAGTCTCAAGAGCTTTTATCCATTGCTTTGCATCAGGGGCACTCAAAGCTTCGGTAACTGACATGGGCTCAAGCAGTTCATTCACTGCTTGAATGACTAGGGCTGCAGAAATATTCAGTTCATAATCCGATAGACGTACATTTTGTCGTCGTACTCGGGTAGACCGCCGAAAAGCCGCCTCAGGGTCATTTCCAGCTTTCATTTCACCGGGTCTAACAATAACAGGTCTTTTTTCTTCTGCTTCTTCTTCCTCAAAAGGTGTGGGAGTCTGTCCCATATCACTCATGCCCAGGTAATCATCTCAGCACTGAGAGCTGGCAGGCAAGTCGAAGGCACAGAGCCTCGGCGGTTAGACCGATCTCCAGTGTTACGACAAGGGGCAGGCATACTGCGGTTAGACAAGTCCATGCCACCTTCTCTGCCGCCTTCTCCTCCATCAGTGACGATGCGATACCAATTGGGACTGTATCCAGCTAGACCACGATAACGATACGACCCCATCTCAGCCTGTGCTGGACTTGCCGTTCGCTCACGACACGACCCCATCTCAGCCTCTGCTGGACTTGCCGCTCGTGAACGTGACGACCGAGCATTAGCCCTTGCTAATCTCGTCGGATTCTCGCTCAACAATACGCTTCCAGGCCCCCCAGCCCATGCTGGCACGCCAACGTTTGGAGCATCATCTACTGATACTAAGCCACCACGACTGTTACAGTCATGACGACAACACCTCTTCTTACGATGTCCTATGTTACTTGGCGATCCCAAAGCCAATGCACTACTCGGTGCAGTGAAGAAACCTCCCACGCGAACATACGGGATCGTGGTAGATAGGGTAAACTTGCCATTACAATACCAATTTCAGAGCAGCCTGTCGATATATGCCCGGTCAATTGTCCAAGCCTCCACAAACTGTACAGTGCGCAACTCTTGAATAGTTCCCGAACGCGCATCCAAAATACGATAACCGATCGAATTCTTCGCGTAGCCAAGAAAGATCGCCGGTTTACCAGGATTTTCTAATTTAGTTTTCCGTAAAATCTTCTGTGTAAATACGAACACTACACAACCCCATATCCGGACATTTGATAAATCAGGACGTCTTCCAAAACGTCGAGTATATGGTGTGTCACCATCCAAAGCTTCACTGGGTATGATATTTAATATCTCCAACGCAAATGTAAATGCATCGCCCCATAACAGATCCGGCATGTCCACCGTTGTAAGCAAACTGCGTACACGGGACATCACGATGCCGTTCATCCGTTCAACTAAGCCATTCTCCTCTGGGCTATATGCATTAGTCCACAAAAAGTCCACTCCGTGTTGGCGAAGGAACTGTTTCAATTGTCGGTTCACAAGTTCCCTTCCTTGGTCAGTGGAAAACACTTGAATGTGATGGCCTTGTGCCATAAGCCATGCCAAATGAGAAATTACGACTGTAGTAGCCTCTCGTTTTTCTTTGCGTAAAAAACCCCATACGTAACGTGTTGCCTCATCTTGAATGAGCTGGAAGTGTTTATACCCGTCATACGTACCCACACCAATGTAGCACATATCAGACATTAGCTTCTGATATGGTACTGTCGACCGTGTAGTTACTAAGTTTTTGTATGACATTCGCTGCATACGTGATTGAATACATGTCCAGCATCGGTTTCTCGGGGTACGAACGTTCCCAGTCATAGCCAAACCATGCACTGTATTGTTTCTTATCATCCGCTGCAAGGCCCCATAATTTATGTGACCAAGGCGGGTATGCCATAACGCGAAAACTCGCTCATTAGCATGTGAAAGGGACTTCACTTGGCTCACCGGGACAGTGAAGGATATGAGGCGATAACGACCATGTCTTTTTACTAATTGCAGTAGCAAATCACCTTTTTTCAGCCAAGCGCATTGCTGTTGCTTGAACTTGAAAAAGTCCCATCCATCTTGTTCCAGCCTATCCAAGCTCAACAAATTTGTTGTTCCAGTCGGTGTGCAAAGGACGCTCGATAAAGAAAGGGAATTCATAGCATGAGGGGGAGTCTCATTCCTTACTCTGCGTTCCACTTCCCCAATCTGTTCTGTAAATTGGGACGCTTTGCCTTCCCAGTCAAACACCATCGGTCCATCATTGAATCGCAAATTCATCAGAATCTCCTTCTTCGTGCATACATGACAATCACTTGCTGAATCAAGGACCCATTCAATGGTCATATCACTTGTATCGTTCTTAACAGCATTGATCGTTTCATCCGCTTGACGCGACAGCATGGCAACTTCTCTTCTGTTCACCGGGTCTAACAATAACAGGTCTTTTTTCTTCTGCTTCTTCTTCCTCAAAAGGTGTGGGAGTCTGTCCCATATCACTCATGCCCAGGTAATCATCGTCAGCACTGAGAGCTGGCAGGCAAGTCGAAGGCACAGAGCCTCGGCGGTTAGACCGATCTCCAGTGTTACGACAAGGGGCAGGCATACTGCGGTTAGACAAGTCCATGCCACCTTCTCTGCCGCCTTCTCCTCCATCAGTGACGATGCGATACCAATTGGGACTGTATCCAGCTAGACCACGATAACGATACGACCCCATCTCAGCCTGTGCTGGACTTGCCGTTCGCTCACGACACGACCCCATCGCAGCCTCTGCTGGACTTGCCGTTCGATCACGACACGACCCCATCTCAGCCTCTGCTGGACTTGCCGCTCGTGAACGTGACGACCGAGCATTAGCCCTTGCTAATCTCGTCGGATTCTCGCTCAACAATACGCTTCCAGGCCCCCCAGCCCATGCTGGCACGCCAACGTTTGGAGCATCATCTACTGATACTAAGCCACCACGACTGTTACAGTCATGACGACAACACCTCTTCTTACGATGTCCTATGTTACTTGGCGATCCCAAAGCCAATGCACTACTCGGTGCAGTGAAGAAACCTCCCACGCGAACATACGGGATCGTGGTAGATAGGGTAAACTTGCCATTACAATACCAATTTCAGAGCAGCCTGTCGATATATGCCCGGTCAATTGTCCAAGCCTCCACAAACTGTACAGTGCGCAACTCTTGAATAGTTCCCGAACGCGCATCCAAAATACGATAACCGATCGAATTCTTCGCGTAGCCAAGAAAGATCGCCGGTTTACCGGGATTTTCTAATTTAGTTTTCCGTAAAATCTTCTGTGTAAATACGAACACTACACAACCCCATATCCGGACATTTGATAAATCAGGACGTCTTCCAAAACGTCGAGTATATGGTGTGTCACCATCCAAAGCTTCACTGGGTATGATATTTAATATCTCCAACGCAAATGTAAATGCATCGCCCCATAACAGATCCGGCATGTCCACCGTTGTAAGCAAACTGCGTACACGGGACATCACGATGCCGTTCATCCGTTCAACTAAGCCATTCTCCTCTGGGCTATATGCATTAGTCCACAAAAAGTCCACTCCGTGTTGGCGAAGGAACTGTTTCAATTGTCGGTTCACAAGTTCCCTTCCTTGGTCAGTGGAAAACACTTGAATGTGATGGCCTTGTGCCATAAGCCATGCCAAATGAGAAATTACGACTGTAGCAGCCTCTCGTTTTTCTTTGCGTAAAAAACCCCATACGTAACGTGTTGCCTCATCTTGAATGAGCTGGAAGTGTTTATACCCGTCATACGTACCCACACCAATGTAGCACATATCAGACATTAGCTTCTGATATGGTACTGTCGACCGTGTAGTTACTAAGTTTTTGTATGACATTCGCTGCATACGTGATTGAATACATGTCCAGCATCGGTTTCTCGGGGTACGAACGTTCCCAGTCATAGCCAAACCATGCACTGTATTGTTTCTTATCATCCGCTGCAAGGCCCCATAATTTATGTGACCAAGGCGGGTATGCCATAACGCGAAAACTCGCTCATTAGCATGTGAAAGGGACTTCACTTGGCTCACCGGGACAGTGAAGGATATGAGGCGATAACGACCATGTCTTTTTACTAATTGCAGTAGCAAATCACCTTTTTTCAGCCAAGCGCATTGCTGTTGCTTGAACTTGAAAAAGTCCCATCCATCTTGTTCCAGCCTATCCAAGCTCAACAAATTTGTTGTTCCAGTCGGTGTGCAAAGGACGCTCGATAAAGAAAGGGAATTCATAGCATGAGGGGGAGTCTCATTCCTTACTCTGCGTTCCACTTCCCCAATCTGTTCTGTAAATTGGGACGCTTTGCCTTCCCAGTCAAACACCATCGGTCCATCATTGAATCGCAAATTCATCAGAATCTCCTTCTTCGTGCATACATGACAATCACTTGCTGAATCAAGGACCCATTCAATGGTCATATCACTTGTATCGTTCTTAACAGCATTGATCGTTTCATCCGCTTGACGCGACAGCATGGCAACTTCTCTTCTGTTCACCGGGTCTAACAATAACAGGTCTTTTTTCTTCTGCTTCTTCTTCTTCCTCAAAAGGTGTGGGAGTCTGTCCCATATCACTCATGCCCAGGTAATCATCGTCAGCACTGAGAGCTGGCAGGCAAGTCGAAGGCACAGAGCCTCGGCGGTTAGACCGATCTCCAGTGTTACGACAAGGGGCAGGCATACTGCGGTTAGACAAGTCCATGCCACCTTCTCTGCCGCCTTCTCCTCCATCAGTGACGATGCGATACCAATTGGGACTGTATCCAGCTAGACCACGATAACGATACGACCCCATCTCAGCCTGTGCTGGACTTGCCGTTCGCTCACGACACGACCCCATCTCAGCCTCTGCTGGACTTGCCGTTCGATCACGACACGACCCCATCTCAGCCTCTGCTGGACTTGCCGCTCGTGGACGTGACGACCGAGCATTGGCTTTGGGATCGCCAAGTAACATAGGACATCGTAAGAAGAGGTGTTGTCGTCATGACTGTAACAGTCGTGGTGGCTTAGTATCAGTAGATGATGCTCCAAACGTTGGCGTGCCAGCATGGGCTGGGGGGCCTGGAAGCGTATTGTTGAGCGAGAATCCGACGAGATTAGCAAGGGCTAATGCTCGGTCGTCACGTTCACGAGCGGCAAGTCCAGCAGAGGCTGAGATGGGGTCGTGTCGTGATCGAACGGCAAGTCCAGCAGAGGCTGCGATGGGGTCGTGTCGTGAGCGAACGGCAAGTCCAGCACAGGATGAGATGGGGTCGTATCGTTATCGTGGTCTAGCTGGATACAGTCCCAATTGGTATCGCATCGTCACTGATGGAGGAGAAGGCGGCAGAGAAGGTGGCATGGACTTGTCTAACCGCAGTATGCCTGCCCCTTGTCGTAACACTGGAGATCGGTCTAACCGCCGAGGCTCTGTGCCTTCGACTTGCCTGCCAGCTCTCAGTGCTGACGATGATTACCTGGGCATGAGTGATATGGGACAGACTCCCACACCTTTTGAGGAAGAAGAAGCAGAAGAAAAAAGACCTGTTATTGTTAGACCCGGTGAAATGAAAGCTGGAAATGACCCTGAGGCGGCTTTTCGGCGGTCTACCCGAGTACGACGACAAAATGTACGTCTATCGGATTATGAACTGAATATTTCTGCAGCCCTAGTCATTCAAGCAGTGAATGAACTGCTTGAGCCCATGTCAGTTACCGAAGCTTTGAGTGCCCCTGATGCAAAGCAATGGATAAAAGCTCTTGAGACTGAGTATGGCGAATTGATGCGTAATCACGTATGGGAGCTAGTGGATCGGCCTTCGGGGGTAAAGATTCTAAAGAATAAGTGGATATTTGTGCGCAAACGAAATGCGCAAGGCGACGTGTGCCGGTATCGCACGCGAGTTACGATTAAGGGATGCCAGCAAGAGTTTGGTGTCAACTTTTGGGAGACCTACGCTCCAGTAGCGAAGGCTGAGTCCGTGAAATTTGTTTTGCTTCTCGCTCTGTTCTTGGGCCTGCCTTGTCGCCAAATTGATTTTGTGACAGCATTTTTGAATGGGCCTCTCGATGATGTAGATATCTATATGGAACAGCCCGATTACTTTAATGATGGTTCTGGTCGCGTTTGCCAGCTGTTACAAAGTCTATATGGATTACGTCAAGCACCTCGTATCTGGTACAAAATGCTGGATGAGTATTTAAGGAAGTGCGGGTTTCGACGTACGAAAATGGATGCAGGTGTATATGTGCGAACAGTGGGAGAGAACAAAGTCTACATTACCGTATATGTGGATGATCTCTTAATTGTGGGAACGGAATCCGACATTGAGATGGTTTTAGTACAGCTGCGAAGCAAGTTTAAAATTAAGGACTTGGGTCCTGTAAAGCATTTGCTTGGAATGGAGATATCATACATGCTAGGGTGTCGGATGTCGATTACCCAACACGGCTACATGGAGAAGATTTTAACACGGTTTAAAATGACAAAGTGTAAGCCTGTTCCTACACCACAAGTGCAAGGCAACTTTCCGATGCCAGGAAACCCGGATGTGGAACCAGTGTGTGTAGACCCAGATCCAGATATGGATTATCGCCAAATTGTGGGATCGTTACAATATTTAGTCCAATGCACGCGTCCAGATATTGCCAACGCAGTGCGAACGTTGGGCAAATTTCTGAATTGCTATACGAGAGAGCACTATGTCTTGGTAAAAAGAGTGCTCCGTTATTTGAGAGGATCATCTGACTACGGACTACTTTGGACGTTGTCTAACAAGACAAGAGTACCGAAGGATGTGTATGTAAACGCATCAAGACCTACAATCGACGTGCAGATTGTGGCATATGCTGATGCTGATTTGGGAAATGAAAGAGATGATCGACGCTCTGTGACTGGATATGTACTACAAATGGAGGGTTGTACTTACGTATATACAAGCCATAAACAAAGATTGATTACAGATGATACATGCTGTTCCGAATTTGTGGCTGCGGCTGAATGCAGCACTATGATAATGTGGACGCACAATATGTGTAAAGAGCTTGGAGTGAGGCGCAAAAGAACTATTCTATATGAAGATAATCAAGCGGCTATAAAAGTGATCGAAGCAAACACAGGGGACTACAAGTGAAGAGTGTAGATCTCAAGTACCACAAGATAAGAGATTATGTGGAGAACGACGAGTTTGCTTTGGTATACTGCCCATCAGAAGACATGGTGGCAGACATCTTCACCAAGCCTCTTGGCCCGACGCAATTTAAGAAGTTACGGCATATGTTGAATATTGTACCAGTGCCTACGACTACCACACCACAAGACATCAGAAACAACGAAGTGGGAGTGTGACGAAGTACAAGATGTCGTGTCCCTGATTCTAGGTGGGACAACGAACAGTTAGTCGTATGATGCTGGGACGCATCGTTACAAAGTTGACAGTTGAGGTATACCTGTTGGTATCTACTGTAGTCTAGTCTAACAGAGGGGGTTGTCACCTACGAGGTTTTTCCCTCCTCAATCCCAAAGTTGCCCACACTGGCCTTTACTCTGCTTTCTATTTTCCCAGCGTTTACGCTCCGGGAGTTGCGACTTGGACTCATCTATGGCGTACTTCGGTCGTGTGCAATCTCGCTGGATATGGCCCTTTACATGACAGTTCCAGCATTCACGATTGTCTCCATAATACTTCTTTCCTGTTAAAGCCTTGCCACTACCACCACCCGACTTCTGGTAATGGTTGCTGCCATGGGCCTTATATTGACTTCGCCCTCGTCGCTTCTCTTTCCAGGGTTGCTGATAGTGTCTTTGTAGCCGTTTGTCTGGTTCCTTCGCAGTTTGAGCAGCACAAATATTGGGTAGTTGGGTTTCGTTACTTCGGGCATCCAACTCCGATTCTGCTCGAAGAGCATTCATCACTTGTGCCGACGACGGAGCCAAACGCTGAATCCCAGGGTCGTAATGCTTAGAAAATTGCCTAACAACCTCACGATGTGTCTGCAACACATTGCTCAAAATAATCTCGGCGAACTCTTCATCAGAGAGTACTTTTTGGTAATGTTGCAGCTCATTCCGCTGAAGTTCCATCTCACGTAGCCAATCATTCATATTTCTGTCATGCGTATACTTGTTTGCATACAGTAGTTGTCGTGCAAAGATGTAATTTTTTTTCGCATACTCTCTCTTGGTTTGCTTATCGACAAAGCGCGACCACATCGCGTGAGCGCTTGCCTCGTGACAGACAAGCTCAGCATCGGCTGTTGGAATACCATGCAGTATAGCACCACGAGCAACATTATCCATCAACGCAAACTGTGTAATTGTTGTCGAAGCTCGTACAACCGACTCATTGTCAATTACACCCCACACATGAATGCGGCGTAAGAACGTTTCCAGCTCAACCGCATACAGATCAAAACTCCCATGCATGATCGGCGGTTTGTTGTCTAGCTTCATGCCAAATCCACCGTCAGGTACTTGATGCACTTCAGGCATAGGGGCAAGTATCCCACCAGCTCCAGGTAATGAACCACCCGCATTAGGCCTTGCCGCTGGAAATCCTGACCCAGGTAATGGGATAGCCGGTGGCGCGGTTGCGGTGGTAAACTCCCCACTCAACCCACTAGGTGCAATACCAGACGTCACAGTACTCACAGCGGTCGCACCATTACTCACGCTTGTCAACACATCACTAGTGGCTGTATCGTTTGACGACATCTCACTTACTCCAGACATTGGGTCAATATGTTACTTGGACAGTGCAAGAAGACTTGGGCTCATAACCTGTCACACTTATCACTGCGCAGGTGAGTGTCGTTGGTCCTGTAATACAGGAGGGCAAGTATCCCACCAGCTCCAGGTAATGAACCACCCGCATTAGGCCTTCCCGCTGGAAATCCTGACCCAGGTAATGGGATAGCCGGTGGCGCGGTTGCGGTGGTAAACTCCCCACTCAACCCACTAGGTGCAATACCAGACGTCACAGTACTCACAGCGGTCGCACCATTACTCACGCTTGTCAACACATCACTAGTGGCTGTATCGTTTGACGACATCTCACTTACTCCAGACATTGGGTCAATATGTTACTTGGACAGTGCAAGAAGACTTGGGCTCATAACCTGTCACACTTATCACTGCGCAGGTGAGTGTCGTTGGTCCTGTAATACAGGAATACAGAGTAGGGAATAGAGAACACGGAACACTTGCTTCCCACTGAGCAACTTTGGGATTGAAAAGGGAAAAACCTCGTAGGTGACAACCCCCTCTGTTAGACTAGACTACAGTAGATACCAACAGGTATACCTCAACTGTCAACTGTAACGATGCGTTCCAGCATCATACGACTAACTGTTCGGTGTCCCACCTAGAATCAGGGACACGACATCTTGTACTTCGTCACAACCTGTATGTAAATGATTATTGACATGGACGACATTCGTCCTAGAGCCGCCGAGGTGTTAAGCAGCTACTCGGATGATGTCTTTATCGATTCATCAGTATCCAATCACTGCTTGCTCGTATCGATAGCCGAGACAAGACACTATTCTTGAGGCAGCTCAGCAGAATTTTAGCTACTAATACACAATATGATTAACGACTTGGCTTGGAGCTGTCATGTCATACGTATTGGGCGCACCAATTTGCTCAGCGTCTTGGTGACACGACAGCTACCATTTTCATACTATGTCCTATCAATACCTTCATGCTCACTACTTCCCTTTGACCTACACATAACTCACAGCATTATCTTCTTTGACAATTTGCTTAATCGGAAGACCCGGGCATGGTCTTGCCAACCTGCATCACGTATGCACCGTCACCTATGCGCGTTAAGAAACTCGCAGGCCTTGGTAGATCGGAACCGAACTTGTCCACCGGATAGCCGGTGTCGAGCACTTGCATGAGCTTCTGCGCATGCTGCTGCTGCACGAGCACTACGATGGAGCCGCCGAAACCGCCGCCCGTCATACGCGCACCATACACGCCGACACAACCACGAGCCGTCTCGACCAGGTAATCCAGCTCGGGTGTGCTCACCTCGTAGTCGTCGCGCAGAGACTTGTGGCTTTCGAACATGAGCTTGCCTACCTCGGTGTACTCACGTGCGCAAATGTGTTCCACAGCGGCCACTGTACGCTCGTTCTCCGTGATCACGTGACGAGCTCGTCGGTACACCACCTCGTTACCCAGCACCTCATGCATCGAGTCTAGATCGAGTACCGTCACGTCACGCAGATGCGTCATGTGTGGATATCCATGGGTTTGCAACGCCTTGACGGCCATCTTGCATTGCATCACACGCTCCTTGTACTCACCACCGTTCATCTCGTGCTTGACGTTTGAGTTGCTCACCACAATGACGATGTCCGGATCCTCAAACGCCACGGTCGTCTGCTCCTTGGTACGGCAGTCGATCAGTAGTGCACAGTCTTTTTTACCGCACGAAGAGATGAACTGGTCCATGATACCACACGGTACGTTGCAGTACTCGTGCTCGGCAGCTTGGCACAGCAGCGCTTTCTGAATGGCCGACACGCTCTTAAGCTCAAACAGACTCTCTAGAAATGTGGCGAAGCCCACCTCTAGTGCCGCAGAGCTGCTCAGTCCGCTGCCAATCGGTACTGCGCTCGCAATGGCCGCGTGCACGCCCAAAGGCTCCGTACGACCGAGGTACTTCAGATACTCGGCCGTCACACCCTCAAGGTAATTGCCCCATGATGGCTTTGTTTTAGCCAGCTTCTCCGTGCTGTCAGTCGAGAACTCTAATACCTGGCCGAAAAAGTTGGTAGACGCGACCTTAGTGGTTGACGCAATCTCTGCGGGCGATCGGATGCCCACCACTACAGTCGTCTTGTCCAGCGCTAGCGGACACACGAAACCGTCATTGTAGTCCGTGTGGTCACCGATCAGATTCACGCGTCCGGGGGCCACCGCAATGGTCAGAACCTTGCGTGGCACATTTGCGTACTGTTTGAAAGTGGAATAGAAGACTGTTATAGCCTGCTCCACAATGTCAACGTTGTTAGCTTCGGCCATGACTGTTGTTTAGGATGAAGACAAATGCGAAGTGACATCCGGGCGACAGGGTGACGAAGATGACCCGAAAGAAAAACCAAGAGCTGGTGGGTTCATACAGTTAAAGAAAAGGTTTCGTGGCTATGACGGCGTGTTTGGTGCGCGTATGACGGGCGGTGGTTACGACGGCTGTACCGTGATGCTCGTGCAGCAGCAGCATGCGCAGAAACTCATACAATGCTGGATACCGGCTACCAGGTGGACAAGTTCAGCTCAGACCTTACAAGGTTAACGCCTAGGCTCCGGCGCATACGTGGTGCAGGTCGGAGAAGTTCAAGCCTGTTTCCACTAGACAATTATCGGAGTAGACTCGCACGCCCAAACATGGCTCCGATCACGAAACCAATTGAATGATCAAAGCTCACGCGACGAGATTTCGTCAAACTTACTGTACAACAAACTCAACAGTATCAAACGCATCCTGACTACATGTAGCATCCCTCTTGCTCCATTGACGACTACAGATCACTCCCTATCTTTTTACTCGAGCCCCTTAAACGACATCCTGGTACTAACGCATTTTTCAAGCAGTATCAAGCACTTACACTGCTATCACATAGTTGGTAAGCGGCGAACAATTTTAGATGTACAGCACGAAATGCAGTGAGCCTGACCTGCTTCATGCAACCATCTCCCGCCGCGCTCATTTTTTTGAAAGCGTCCCCGTGTCTTTGACGAGCTTTAGCTTTCGGGCTTCTTTAGCGCTCTCGGGGTTCCTACGCGTTTGCTATGCATGCATGTCCAGCTGACGATGGAAGTTTTCGGAGCGTATAATCTTTCCAGTGCCACACGCATAGGTCAGATGCCCCAATGTGTTGCCATCTACGCGAAGCAGGGTCTTTCAGCTGGTACACCTCGCACTCAAGCAAGACAAAGGATGAAGGAAGTATCAATAAACCATTAGCAGGGGTTGAGATCGATGCACCTCATTGTTTTTTTGATGAAAAAGCCTGGGTATTCTACCAACCTGAAACGCGCTAGCTTTCTCAGGGTTGCCTGCGTTATCGATGTCATTCGCCTAAGCAAGTGTGTTCTCAGAGTCGAACAAATTGGCGGTTCTACAAGACCGGTCACCGGTAATATGGAGCTAGCTATACCCTATTTAGCTGGGTTGAGAGAAGTATTAATGATGATGGAATCGCTCCTAACGATTCAAAGTCGTTACGAGAGGAGCTACTTGCGCCAACAGAACGTCCGAAAGACAAGTTTCATATGAGTGAGGTGTGGTGTAATGGGATCTGAATCAGTGGGTTCCGTCAAATGCCTGCCATGTTATACTTAGTTGCTTTGCAAACCTGCCCAACTCTTTCAAAGAGTTTCCAAGAGACTTTGGGTAACTTATCAATTTGTCGGGCGTGTGGCGATCCAGTACAACGAGTTCGTTCGAGAGCTACCGTCGTCAAAGAAATCGATGCTCTGGACCTTCGTCCACGCATCCGTCGGGTTGATGATGGCTAGATCCAGATACGCGTAGCCCTTCCAACGATCATCAATCGGGTCTTGCGCTCGGTCAAACGCCTGCTGCTGCAAAATAGGATACTCCTCCTGGACATAAGCAGGCTTTAAGAATTTACCCGTGATCGGCGTGAAGGGGATCATGTTAATCAGGTGCATGTGCTCCACTTGTGGACCAAACCACGTCGTATAAGACACTTTCGTGGCAGCGACTTGACCCGTCATCTTGTTAGCCGCGTAAATAGGCTCGTAAATGTCAGAGGTAGATGGCATCTGCCAGTACGTCTGCGCGCCGCGGATTTCCAAGGCAAGTAAAAGATGACCAATGTGCTCCACCTCTGGAACCTGGAACGACTTGCCCACCAGGTACACGCCATAATAGGCGTTAATGGCTTCACTGACACTCTCTTGAGACTTGCCACCATCTAGAGTGTAGATACCGCTGGCAAATGAGTGACTGTCGAACCAAGAAAAGTGACGGGTGAACGGGAAGAAGGTGCTGCAATACATGGTAAAATATGATGTCAATCGATCATAATGAATCTCTCAAAAACAGCAGCAACAACAACTTACTCGCTCTGGTCGGGACTAGCAATATCACGCACAATCGACATGACAGCAGCCTTGTGCGTCTTCACGAAATCCGGACGAAACTTGCCAATCACACCGGCGGCGTACAAGAAGTAGCCGTAGTGAAAGTGCTGTGTACACAAATACGAAAACACAGCTTTAGTCACCTAAATTAGCTTCCTCCGTAGCTTTTTGCGCGCCGTTAACACGTACGTGATCGTTATACCAGCCGTTACCAAAGTCCGTCATCCAGAACACACCCTTGAGTCCGTTTAACGAACACAGGCCACCCCAAATGCGATCGTACACGAAGTGGTCACTGTTCTGGCCAAGCATCCATGGAGTCACCCACTCTTCGAGCTTGTCAAGAATTTCATCACGGAGCTTCTTTTCGCCAAGCTGGTCAGCGATCAGAACCAAACGAGCTTGACGACCTGCTTCCTTTCCAAAGTAGTAAGGGTCGTCTGCCTCTGGGGTGTAACTCGAGTCGTTGAGCAGAGCAACCTTGATCGCTTCCACATACTGAGACTGAATCTGGGCATTTTCTTCTTGGAACGAGACCTTCGGTAATGTCTCCTGCATCTCCCAGCAGCTACCAAGCACTGCTGTCATGTTTGACTTGAGCGTGCGATGCCCAAATTGGCCCAGCACCCGGGTGGCGTCCCCATCGGTCTTTATCGTCGCCACATGATGTGGGTTTGCTACCATCAGTAGCTCAGGGGTTGACGTCGAATTCAGACCCGACTCGCCTAGATCGGGAAACCGCTTTGTTTCCCAGCAGAACGAAAACGACGCGTTGGCGTTGTTTACATCCATCTTGATCGAGGAACCCACTGGATAAATGCCAGCAGCCTGGTCAAGCGCGTCGATTACAGCCTGTGACGCTCCCTGCGGGACAATAGCAAGCCGCGCTGCACCCGTGTAGAAGTCCGTGTCTACCAGTCGAATGTTAGTGGGGGTCATCAACTCGCCAAGCAAGTTGTAAGGGCGATAATCCGTCTCATTGGCAAACTGTAGCTGCAACGTGCGGACCTTGTCAAAGTACAGGATCCATTTTTGCTGGGCCTTGCCTGTCCCGTGTGCACTCTCACCAGTACTGTACAACTCCAAGTCAAGTTCAAAGCGGTTACTGGTCCATGTCTGTAATTGCTTTCGAGAAGCCAATGGGTCCATTTTCTGATCCACTATTTTGCCATTGACAGTCAGCACACTAGCGTTGAACTCGAGCACAGGGAGGACGTTCTGATACTCTACCGTAACGTAAGGCGAGCCACGTACCAAAGGCACCTTCATCCACTTGTTGTCTTCCTCGTAGTAGTACTGCAGTAGCACTGACAGGACATCAAAGCTCACAACATTTCTGGACGTGCTATTGCCTTCTCCCAACAAGACACTATTGTCCTTTTGAACTTGACGACTATAGGCTGTGAAACTTGCGTCCACGTTAAAGTATTCTGTGATAGCGTTCATTGTAGCTACACGACGAGAGTCTCCGTACGAGATTTCTAGTCTTTTAGGTAGACTACGGACCGTATAGGGACTTAAAGTGACCTCACCAGCACCAGCATTAAGGCCGTGACCATCAGCTACCAACAGATTGGACCAGAAAGCATTCGTCGGCAGTGCTTGACTAAAGTCCTTTCGATGCACGAGCTTGGGTGAGATCGGATGCAATTTCTCCATATAAGGCGGCCGCATAGTCAGTAGCTCAGCGTCTGTGGCGACGTTCGTTGGTGCGTGACTCGATGCAGCCGGAGCTTTATCAGTTTTGTCACCACCGGTAAGGACATATATGGTGACAACGGCAACGAGCGCCATGGGGATGATGACGTACAATGCACGTCGAAGAGGAGGACGACTACTTGATTGGCCATTCGTGTGGCTTTCGAGCAGTGGGGAGTTTTCATTCATAGCCATGGACGAATCAATCGCGGAGACTTGAGGGTTACACGGTAAAATATCGAATGAAGATCTGATTTTCATTGTCGGAAGATTTGCGATAATTTTCATATATTTAGCCTTTTTTCTAGCTGATGGGTTTGTTTAGACCCACGGGTCATTTAAAAATTGCTGATACGGTGGTGCTAAGACAACTGACCTGAACCGTAAGCGGTAGTGTTAGAAGACACACATGTGGTATGAGGTGCTGGTTGGAAGCGACGCCAAACTATATACGTGCTAGATACGACCACATTGAATAGACCGCAAATCATCCACACACTACGCTTCTGAGCAATCAGTACGCCTGAAAGCACCATGATCTTGGGCAGCGTAATGGCCCACGCACCGGTGTTACCAAATGGTACCACAAATGGACGCTCTGCGTCTTTTTCCACGTATTTGAGGCGTAAGAACGCAAAGAACTCTAGCAGCAGAGTCAAACTACAATCGCAACAACTATTTGTCAATACATTGCAAGTCATGACATAGAAAGTGAGACAGTGATAACGTACTTGTTGAAAAACGTGTCGAGCACCACCAGAATCTCGAATGAAAAGTTCATGAGCACACCTGTAGTCAACGTTTGGAAAATGACTGCAGCGATCGGCGTCCCGAAGCGCTCCCACTCGATGGCGAGAAACGAGGGCAACATCTTGTAGTCTGCTGTTGCCCATAACGCACGCGAGCTGCAAGCCATCACAACGTTGAACTCTCCTAATGTCGCAACGACCGCAGCTACACCAACCCAAACACCAAGCCATGGTGCGGTTGTCATAGCAATGGTCTCGAGAGAACCTGCATGCCACTGCGAGATATCAGGCTGCACCATTATCCCTACACCGACTGCACAGGGTGAATAACAACAGGGATATGAGTTCTCATTTCTAAAATCAGATCAACCGAGATAAACGAACCTGGGAAGGCGTAGTTGATGGTAATCAGAATCATCGCAATCATAATGGCGATCGGGTAAGTCCTGCCGCCGTCCTTAACTTCACCAGCAACGCACCCAAGGGAATCCCAACCTAAATCGAAAAAATCATAGGTTTTAGTCATAAGCAAGCACCCGTACCTCTACAAGTCCATATAGTCTACCTTGATAGTTCCACAAAATCGTGGAGAGGAACAGCGACCACTCGATTTTCGGTGCAACGCTACCCCATGTCGCGAGGTTAAACGTCTCGACGGACAGAGGCTCCAAGATGAAGGGCGCAAGCACAAAAATTGACATGAGCACTGAGGTCATTGCAACTGCACGCATACCGACAGCATTTGAAGCGAATACAAGCAACAGTGCCACACATTTCACCATCCATTGCTCTGTACCCGACAGTGTGTAGCCATAACCAGACGCTAGAAACGCTTCCACGTAGCTGCAGAATAACACGGGGTACGTTGGCAAGTCGCAGATATTGCTAGCAATGCAGTTAAAGGCATTCACCCAGCCAGCGTATTGGCCCAGTCCGCGTCGCACCCACAGAATGTAGCCTCCATTTTCGTCAATCATTGTGCTGAGCTCTGCAGTCTATGTCATCACAGCAACGCATCAGTCAACAGACACCATCTCAAAATCTACACAATCCAATGACTCTTACTCACCATTAAAGCTTGTGGCAAACCCCATGTAAATGGTAGCACTACCACTGCCAACAGAACTGGGTAAGCTCCTGCAGCGCGCACTGCATCTTCAACGCCAAAAGGTCCTGCTGCCACTGCAAAGTAAGCGATAAAGCCGAGTGTGATGTGGTTGATAGTGCGTGTCTTGTTCCTGCTTTGCTTCCTAGTCTGCACCTCATTGTTGTCGTACTCTAACTGACTCTCGAGCAAGTGTTGACTGCTCGAAAGACTCGGCAGATTGGGCCAAGACTTTAATGACGATCGGTCGGTGGATGATGGCGACACTCGATGCAAGCCGTTCGTTTCATTGGGGGGCGAGTCGAAGCGTGTGCGAATACTCGGGCATATATTGAAGCTAGTAGTAGCCATCTGGCTGCAATTTTCTTCTGCTTACGTAGTCGCCTGTTTTACTTGTTTTGCGTGATTGTACTGCCGTTTTTCTTGGACCGATCGATGCCAGAAACTCGTAGATGTAGAGCTTTTAACTGCTCGTCATTCCCACACTGTAACGAAATCTGTTTGGTTTCAGGTTTAGGAAGGGGTTGTCACTTGAAGGCGGGTGGGGTATTGCGTGTGACACACACAATCTGACATTCAGTCAACATCCATCAACGTCGAGTCTGCACCAGTCATTCTGAATGAAACATGTTGGACACTTCTGTATCTTACTATCTCAGTTCCAAAGTCGACCACAACGTAACACCACCTTCGCCGTTACTTTAGAGAAGCGTATGAGTTTATTGCATAACGTGTGCTTATCCAACAGCCCGCTTGTACTCTCTTACGTGTGTGAGTGGGTATAGTATGAAGCACATAGCGAGGTTGGCAATGCAAAGACTGTGGATAGTGCATATCCGCTGTCCAGAAGTCGTCTGTACTGCTGCGTCGCTTGTTCCGGTACTTTCCGATCAGGTCTTGATGCAGTGGTCGTACATGTCTGAAAACATATAAGTTTGTTTGTCCCGTATTCTGCAAGATACACTCTGTTCTTTTCTTTGACAGTAGAGAAGTCCAATTTTTTTCACTTGCTAGAGCAATGCCATTCTAACTCACCGCCGTGTTTATCTCTTCCAAGGAGTCAGTAAGCACAATGGTCTTAAGAGTGGTGACATGTCTGCTATCATTGCAATCCATACAACTTATGCACAATACAGTTAGTCTTTTCATTATAGATCGAAGTGATGAAACACTTTTTGTGGAGATATTCAATGATATACACAATGACTACAATTCTCTGATCGATCCCATTGAAACGCTGCATCATATACATAGCGCTTTCATGTATCCGTCCATCTATAGGCTAGTAGAAGTTTACTTGTGCTTCTCCGTCGAAGGCGAAATCTTGAGTTCGTAATCTAGAAGAGTATCTTCGTCTGCTGCAAAGTGGAAATGTCCTTGCACGCTCTTACCACTCAGCACATGTGGCAGCCAGATGCGGTCGTCTGCCCACATACTTTTAAACGGTAACTGTTGGACATCGTACCATTGCGGCATCATCTCGTCGCTCTCCAATGGCTCGCCCGAGAATTTTTGAGTTAAGAACACATGCACCTCCTGCACAGCACGAATGAGTTTCTCATAAACCAATCCTACCATCCATCTCATCCCATACCATGATTTCTTTTCCTTCTTCAAACGAGAACAATAGCACACCACGTGACTCTAAATCTTCAACATTCACGTGTACATAAGCTTCCTCTTCTACTTCCCTCACTGCCGCAGCCGCAATACTCGCGTCCGTAGATTCCACTTTGCCCCCAAAGCCGTTCCATTTGCCTATACCAAAGCCTCTTTTCTTTAAACCCAATAGCACTTTCTTTCCTCCATGGGTTGCACAGCCATTGCGTACAATAAACGCCAGTGTAAGTAACTTGTGAGGTAGTGGCGGTATCATCATGATGTTGGGTCATTGATATAAATCAGGTACCTCCTTAAATGCATATTCGATATCAAAGGAATCAATTTATCGCATACAAACTTCATGTCAAAAAACTTCAACGCGGATCCATAACGGTTTCATGGCTCTCATTTCGAAATAAGCCACCTCCAAGGCAGATCCAAGAGTGTTGGTCCCTTTTGGATTGTACTACAAATCAGTTCAAACTGCTGCTCACTCTGTTGGATCGCTTGCTCACTATGTCGGGGATGATGGCAATGGCGCTTCTCTCCGTGTGCGTGTCTCTGTCGCTGTGCGTCGTGCCTTTCCTGGCGCGTATCACAGTCTTCCCGTTGCTCACAGGGCTCGTACACAAGTTTACAGCCGCCTATTTGACTGACAGTATTCAGATTGAGTATTCCTTTGGCTCTTTTGAAGTGCGTGGACGACGCGGTACTGGAGCAGCTTTGGAGATGCTGCGTGGCATTACTATCTCGCTCTTCTTTGTGACACTGCAGAATGAATTTCTCAAGACGTTGGCCTTTGCTAAACAAGGACTTGCTCCGGTTGAGCTCAAGCACGTGAGCATTGAGAAGATGGTGATCTATCTGGCGACGACGTGGAAGGTGGTAATCAAGGTAGAAGGCGTGACTGTGGATAGCCAGATGATCGATCCTAACGTAGAAGGCGTGTTTGACTTGCAAGACGCAGTGGCTATGAAGGTCAATGAAGCGACCAATTGGATTACTCAACTCGTTGAAATACGCACCAAAACGAACCTAAGAGAGAAACAGGAGAAGGAGCAAACGGCGCGTACTCTTGGAGTCACATCGCCGAAAGCTTTTGCCTTTAAAGATCGTGTATTACAGCAGATTGCGGCCCAGGTGGACGTCCATGTGAGGAATGTGAGAATTGCTATTACGGGGCTGACACCAGGAGCTACTGCTGTTGATGGCCACGATGGTGAGGCTGAGGAAATGGACGATGAAGACGCAGACGTAGCCACGACGAGCTCCATTCCCGAGGCCTTGAAGCCAACACGTGTGATCTTTGTTATGAAGTCGTATGACTTGCTGTCGGATGTATTGCATGACAGTGCAGAGGAACCTTTACAACTTGTGTTGACGTCGGAGGAGATCCTGGTGGAACACGCTATGAACATTAAGGGTGTGAACATTTGTGCTGCTACTGTGAACGATGACGATGACAAGTCTATGCCGGAGCAAAGGGAAGACTTGCTGAAAGATAAGAAAGGATTCCGTCCAGGTGAAATGCCACTGCTGTCTTTCCAGAGTATCGACCTTAAGCTCCATGTGCCGCCCATGCCACGATTGCTGGGCATCGTGGAGGACATTGCTCCTATTCCGGTGAAGAACCGTGTGGCACAAGTAGAATTGGTGTCGTCGTCGATCAGCAACATTACAGTTACGCGTGAGCTGACGGTTGGCGTGCTGCGCGATCTGTTTGTTCCATACATGGATCACCAGGTTCTGGTGCAGTCGGTGCGTGCGTTAGCCCACGATGAGACTGTCCGAAAGCCGATCTCAAAAGAGGACGAAACATTTTACGTGGATAATTACGACCAAGTGGATGGCAACAGTTCACTGTCGGCTCAAGATAAAAAGGAGCGCAATGACAAGCTTCGCGCACTGGAAGCTGTCATGTCGCTAAACAAAATTCTTGAGCTGCGCAGTCGATCCACTGGATTGGCCAAGTATTATCGTCCTGATCAAGATGAGCTTTCTCTAGCAGATTACATTGCAATTGTGCAAAAAAATGCTGCCAAGACGAGCAACGTTATGTTTAGAGCGTTGCAGATCACATTACGTTGGGACAACATGAGTATTGCGTTTGTTGAACGGGGCCATCAGATTTCTGAGTTGGTGGTGGTCGGCTTCGGCGTCAATGCGCGCTCATTCACAATTGCAGAAGGCGATGAGAAGCAAAAGCTAGACGTGGATATGGTATTGGGCCAGACAACATTCACGGTTAACGTTGGGTCGTCGGCTTTGAATCCTGTTTCTCCGACAGTAAAGCTAATGTTTGCGGACTTCAGCAAGGTAGCTGCAGAGACTGACGCAATGACACCGCCACAGATGCTCACAGCCAATGTAAGCCAATTTGAAAGTGGTAAGCAAAATGTGCGTGCTGCTGTGAACAACGTGAAGTTGGTGCTCTCAGTGAATGCACTGGAGCGTTTTCTGCTGTACGTAGATCGACTGAGCACAAAGGCTACTCAAGTACTGTCAACAGCGCGGCCACCTTTGATTCCAGTTGTTCACTCCGAGTCATCGCCTACCCCGGTGCAGGTTGCTAAAAGCGAGATGGAAACGGTGAGAAAAGAGGTATCGATGTCTCCGTTTAGCTTGCTTGGTGGTATGCTGCTAAACCTCAACGTAAACGTAAACGACTGTCACGTTGTCCTGCTGCCCACTCACTCTTATTCAAAGTCACTATTCACGGATATTAATGTGGAGACTTGGCAAAGCAATTACGTAGTAGATTGCCGCGTGGATATGCCAGCCACGTTGAGTATTCATCTCGAAAGCTCAAAAGTGAAGGAAGTGATGGAGTTTAACGTTCAAAGCGTCAGTATTGGTGCGCAATACGTTGATGGTGCTAAGGATGTGGAAACCATTTTGGCTCCAACAAGTATCGCGATTCAGCTCGTACTAGAACAAGACACCACGGACTCCTTGATTTGCCACCAGAGTGTAATGATGCACATGCCAGATATCTTGGTTGCTGGGTCGGACCTCAGTTTGTCTCTGTTGGCGTCCTGTGGCGAGGCTCTCGGTAACATGCAGACCACAACGCCTGACCAAGCCCAACTTCGCCTCGAAAGTCGTATAAAGCAAGAAGAAATTCGGCGCCAGGCGGAAGTTGATACAGTCCTCGATCGCTTGCACCGACTTTTCGACGAAATTGATGAAAACGGAAACGGCCGTATTGAGCTTGGAGAGCTTCTTCTCTTACTGCGCCGGGTCAAGGTTGGTGACTCGTTGCTAGAAAGTGAATTGGAGTACTTCGTTCGTGAGCTCTTCAAGGAGATTGACCGGGATGGCAACGGCTTTCTAGAGTTTCAAGAGCTGCGAGCATTCTTGCGCGATGATCTGTTGTCAGACGAAGCTACTGAAGTTTCTGTTTCGACGTCAGGAAACGGCAGCAATGCTCTTAGCGGCTTCCTCAACCTGCGAGGAAATGAATACCATTCGTTCGAAGTTCTTAACAAGTTGTGCGAGACAAAGATAACGTTCTCCGAGCAACTCGCCGAGTGGATCAAACGTCCTGCGTTCGAGGGGCGATTCTGGGAACTATTTGAGAGCGAAGCTCGCGTTAAGAACCGCTCGGTTGGCGATCAAGACCCGCTGGATCTACAGAAAAAGTTGGTGCGTCTACTAAAGAACTATGACGCCGCGAATCTGATCTGGGATGCATTGGTATTGCCTACGATAGAAGACAATTGCTCGGACCGTGATTTATATGAGTGGCTATTGCAGCCGTTCACGCGCTGTGGAGGCATCAGCGAGTACCAGAGTGCAGCAAAAATTATTGCGATGAAAAAACGTGAAGGTATTTTCAGTGCAGCTTTTGAGGAAGCAGAAAATTTAGTGAGCAAGCTTACGCAGAACACAAATCTGGTGAAAAAGGAGCTGCAGTTAAGAACAGATGTCAAACTGGGGAACCTGCGATTTGTTCTTACAGATGCGGATCTGCCTGCTCGCTTCTGCCGTGGCAATTTTGTCATCAAGGATGTAAAAATGTCGATGGAGTTGACTGGCAAAGAAATCGACGAAATCGGCCCCGTAGATTGGGTCAGCTTGGCTACGTCTAGTAACGCCGACTGGACGTTGTTGTTTGGCTTCAAGATGTCGTCGTCTTGCCATAGCGAATATGCTAACGACATGGAAAATATTGTCGAGCCATGGGAAGTGGTTGCCGGCCTGTCTTCGGGTGCTGGCGAGAACGGTTTTTCTGTTTTGATAGAGGCAGCCAAGCGATTCCAAATAAATGTAACTCCAAGTGTCCTGAAGACCTATCGTGCTCTGATGGACGCCCTTGACGGAGAGGCCCAGCAGAATGGTCTGCAGAAGCATCTGGATAGCTACCAACTTTCTTTGGCCGCAAAAAAGCAGAAAGAAACCGATTGCCTTGTGCAGAACTTTACTGGATGCAAGGTCTTTTTGAAACTGAACGGCAGCCACGAGACAATCACGATCGAAGCGCATAATCGTGCTCACATTGCAAATGGAGCTTTGAAAGATGGTGAGGCTACACTAGACTCACTTGAAATTGATCAGTGGGGTACTAGCAAGAATTCGGTGAAGTTGCCATCCTTTGGCAATGTAAGCGTTGGTGTGAGTACGGCAGAAGCCGTGTCATCTACTCTCTTTGTCACCGTGTTTTCACGATTGGAAAACCCACGACACCAACTTATTGTTCTTAGATCGAACACGTACTTCTGCAACCACAGCTCGGAGTGCTACGAGGTAAAGTACTTGAGCCTAGGAAATGAAGACAGAGTGGCGGTGGAATCTCCCGTCATTAAGTTGCGGCCTAATGAGCGGATTTCGTTGCCGCTCTCGCTGTTAATGGGAATTACGGAGTTTTACGCGCGTCCTGAAGGTTACGAACACTGGATTGTGAAGACTGTACTGAACAATGACGTGGTAACATCCACTACGGCAATCAAAGAGCTCGATGACCACGAAGCTGAAAAAGAAGCGAAAATGAAGCAGCGCCGAGGCGGGACTATCGTGTTTGGCCAAACCGAGGAAACTTGCACAAAGATGATAAAGCGCCTAACCTCGAATGTGATCGTGCGTCGTTGGTACTTACGTTCGCATTTTGAATGGGAAGTAGCGTTGCTTCCTCCGTTTGTGGTGCGCAATTCTCTGCCCTATGCGATGGAATATCGATTTGTCGAGTACAAGTCGAGTTCATCGAGGGACATGAAGACTGCTTTCGCCAAGGTAGATACACTTTTACGGTGCGAGACTACACCTGAGCCATCCGATGGTGTATTCAGTGGCATGGTGGAATCAGGTCACGATACTGAAGTGTCCGGTGTTTCTGGAGGGTACCCGGGATATCTGTCTATTCGATTGGTTGCCCAAAAGCAAAGCACAGGCAAAGATGTGGCATCGGCATGGTCGAAACCGCTGCTGATGATGATCCATAAGGGACTCGAGCAGTTTACGACACTGCAAGAAAGTGTCGAAGTCGACATTGGTCTCAAGTTCAACATCGACCGAATAACACTTCCTAGTTACCCTCGGCTCGTACGCTTTTCGAGCCCTTACTGGATCGTGGACAATACATCGATTGCATTTGACTACGCGTCTACTGAGTCTGGCGCAAAGCGGAGCTCATTTAAGGCCGTGAGTGTGTGTGCACCGTTCAATTACCCTATCATGACATCGCTGCCACATGATCGTCTGAGCTTGAAACCGCTTGCAAATCTCAACCGCCGCCCAAAGGCATGGGAAGCGCTCGGCAATATGCCGGATACAGCGTTTAAGGCTTCAGCAATCTCGGAGCATGCAATAAAGAACGCGCAGTGGTCGGAACCGATTAACACGACAGCCATTAACACTATGGGTGAGATCGTGTGTGGTCCAAGCGTTTTTAGCTTGAAAATGGAAGGTCTTTACGGTCTTTTTGAGCCAGGTATCTCGCTTACATTGAGCCCCCGATATTTCGTTCAAAACCGCTTGAACCAAAAGCTGTACATTCAGAGCTTTGCCTCTCACGATCATGATCCGCAGAAAGTAGACGATATGTTTCACAAGCGAAGTGTAAATGATGTGAAGCAGCTGCATATGGCGCTGGAGGACGGTCAGACTACACCACTGTATCATTTCGGGTCCTTGAAGAAGGGCGAGTCTGGGGTACAAAGTCAGCGCTACGTGTCGTTTTCATTCTCGGAAGAATGGGGCACCGACACCGACAAGAAAAACTGGTCGTTTGCCATTCCGATCAACACAGCCGGAGATGTCTACCTACAAGTCTATTCATCTGTGCGCCAGCGTCATCTTATTTGCCAAGCGAGTGTGCAAGTGGTGGACATGTACGTCTATGTAGTTCTGACGGATGTGTCTTGCGCACCACCGTACCGGATTGAGAATTACACTCCGTTTACAGTAGATTACGCTCAATTGGGCGAGTCATCTATTTTCAGCAGGGGGCAAAAGCAAACGGCTGCTACGATTAAACCCGGCGCGTGGCATGCTTTCGCCTGGTTTAATCCTTTGTCGAAGGACCGCCACGTCGAGCTCCGTCTTTCACATGTAGACGCTCCTAAGGCACAGACGAAAAAATATGACATCGACTATGTTGGCTACTTGGACCCCATTACCATGTGGGTATCTCGCGATGGCGAGAAAAAGCACGCCGTGGAGTTGACTGTACAAGTCGTCGTTGACGAGAGCACGCGTGTGGTTAAGATTGCTGAGAAGGAACTGGAGCTTAGTCTCCTGGTAAACAAGGACTTGGAGGAAGAGGACGATCTCCAGCACCGGCGAATGCTCTACGTATCTTCTTTCGATATTGCATTCGAGGGCTTTGGCTTTTCCTTGCTAGATGGTTTCCCGCAAGAAGTATTTTTCGCGTCAGTAGATGTTATTAAGGTGCAAAAGGCCCCTTCGTCGCTAGAATGGACGTTTTCAGTGCTACATTGCCAAGCGGACAACATGCTGGCGACTGCCAAGTTTCCGGTGATTATGAATCCTGTTAACGCAGGTTACAGTGATAAGTCGGTCGGCAAAGAGCCACAGCCGTTCTTAAAGTTAGTTCTTGATGCTGACCTCGAAGCCCGTTTGGGAACGTACAAGCTGTTTGAGTTCAGCTTAGGTGACCTGGCGGTAAAGGTGGATATCGATTATTTCGTGAACCTTGTAAAACTTCTTGAACCTTATTTGGTGTCTGATGCAACTATGACTCACCGCTCAAGGCGAACGCTGGAGAAAACGCTTCAACGTCGCGCACCACCGATGCCTGTAATGTTGGTGACAAACGATGGTGGCATCGAGACAGATTTGGTGTACTTCGATGTCTTGCGTATTTCGTCGTTGTCAATTGATATAGAGTACTCAATCACGCGCAAAGACATTGTATCGTCTACTGGTGGTGGCCACTCGGTGGTCTTCGGATTTCTAAGCCAGATCGTTGGCCTTGTCGGATCAAACCTAAGTGGTTCGCCAACGTTTAACTTCAGCGAAATTGTGATCGTGCGCTGTCTCTCGACGAAGCAGCGACTACAGAATCAGCTAGTCGCGAACTATGTCCAGCAGGGCATCATGCAGGCGTATCGACTTGTTGGGAGTGCAGATATCATTGGCAATCCGATTGGGCTTGTGGAAGATTTGGGTTCTGGTGTTGTGGAATTTCTGAAGATCACAAAGGGTGAACTAACTGGTGGTGCTCAAACTCGAGGTGAGGGCGTGAAGGTTTTGGGCAAGACTATCGTAAAATCAGGCGCGTCTTCGGTTGCAAAGATCACAGGCTCACTCGATAAGTTTGTGGGTGAGTTTTCGGACGACAACAAAGGCGATACATCCGGTGGTGATGATTCGTCTTCTTCGGACAATGTTGGCGTCAAGTTTGCGAAAGACCTTGGCCGCGGCTTCACTGGTATATTCACGAAGCCTGTCGAGGGCGCTATGAAAGGCGGTGTGACTGGACTGGTGCAGGGCACGGTGCAAGGCATTGCCGGTCCTGGCGTTGTCCTGCTCAAGGGTCTAACGTCGACATCTCACAATCTTGCATTGGGTGTCCGGTCTACGGTCGTTGATCGCTCCCCGTTTGGCGGCCGCCGCCGAAAGCCGAAACTTGTTCAAAATGGCAAGTTGATCGCGGAGTTCGACGAAACCCATTACAAACCAACCCTTCTGAACCTGGAGATACTGGGTGCTAATGGGCTGGACTCGGACAAGTCATGTGACCCGCTATGTGTTGTGCGAGTGGACGGTGTAGATGTGATGAAGACTGCGGTAATCTACAACACCGTAAACCCAGCGTGGCAAGAGAAGACGCAGCTAGCGTTAACGGGCAAGGAGAATGAGGTGCAATTTGTGGTCAAGGACTCGTTTGGCGGCACCGTGGCCAAGACAATTGGCAAGTGCATTTTGAGCATGGCGCAGCTCCAAGACGATTTTAAGCCGCCCGAGTACTCGTCGGATCTTGCTGAATGGGTTCACACGCAGGTGAAGCCCGGAAACACTCAGAAGAACATGAGCCATGCGATCGTGGAAAAGGATTATCCACTAGTCATGCTGAAGAAAAACAGCTCGAAGAAGGCGAGCCATGCAGCGTCATTGAGTGGCGAGAAGCTCCAGGTATTCGTTACTGTTGTATCGTTGAGAGACATGGTCGTCACTAGTTCGACTGGTAGTGGCATGCTTGGGCTGGGCAACGTAGGAAGCAGCACACCCAACATTTCCCCATACATCTCAGTGCACGTTGGTAAAAAAGCCAACCGCACGAATACTACGAAAATGTCGTTTGTGAAGAACGAGAAGAAGGAGCAGGTAGGCCATGCGTCATGGGGAGAAAGTTTCACGTTCTCATTGACAGCGAAGGAGCTTCAGCGTGGCGGTGCCGACTCAAAACTGGTTGTTTCTCTAAAGGACAAGAGTATGATTGTGGACGCGAGACTTGGATCGGCAACACTGGATATCGACGCGAGGATCAACGCACCCGCTACGACGGAAGAGGTGGTACTGAAGGACCAGTTCAATAAGTCGGTCGGATACCTTACACTAAAGGTGGAAGTTTCTGGCTCAGCTACATCGTCACGCTCACTATCGTTTCAATCTATCGAGTCAACTGAAGATATGGCGACCATACCACCCGATGCAGTCAAGGCCGGCACTATCCGCGTCTCATGTGTGTTCGAGTAAGGAAGGCACTACCTGGTTTTTCAAACACGTTCCTACACATAAGCAAGTTTTTTTTTGATTGCATCATAGGCGGAAGCTACAAGCAACGCTTGAAAGAAGAGCGGATTGGATTCAGAAGGCTTAACACCGTTCAAACCAATTCTATCAGAAAAATCCGAGTTTATTTCGCAAAGTTCCGACATGTCGTTGGATTTCAGTCGACACTTGAGCCGTCCAATCAATGCCACCTTGTCGAAGAGATACTGGCAACGCGCAGAGCGTGTAACTTTACAATTGGTTGGTTTGCTCGATCTGAATCCCACCAATTAGAACGTTACACGCTCTGCGCGTTGGTAACTTGATCGGACCAATTAGGTGCGTCACCAGCTCATCGGATATGATCGGAGTGGTACTCGATACTTTTCGCAAACTCAGCGCCCTGTCTGCACCCCGGGGCTGGATACCATGAAGCCTGACGTCTCGAGCTAGCAAGGAAAAGACTGATGGAGTTCTGATACAAGCATACAGAATATCGTGTAGTCATGCTGATCATAATGCGTGTAGTGTGACTCTGCTACCTCATTCATAATTGTATCGATTCCATATAGATATTGCAAGTAAAACTTGTTTTTCATTGACTCAGATTCATCGAGCCTGTTGTAGACGTCGGTGAATAGTCAATCGCTCAATAGAGATTCGAACTAAACGTCAAGGAGACCTTGTCATGCATATTAATTCTCAGGATATCGAGGAGAGCAGACCCTTTCAATAAACTCGGACTATTCTTTCAAATCTACTTGATTTCTGTATAAAATTGAAAGTGTTGCCCCTCCCACCTTGTCATCCAGTGACAAGCTTCGATCTCAAACCCCCCCCCCCTTGTCATTGCCCATTTTGCACGAACACAACCAAGTTCTAAACCCTCTTCTTCGTTTTCTCCATATCATGAGCCAACTCGACCGTGCTGTCTATGACCAATACATGAATCTTGACACAGGCAATGTCATTCTTGCCGAATACGTCTGGATCGGTGGGTCAGGCCAAGATTTACGTTGCAAGACCAAGACGTTGACGAATGAAGTCAAGTCTGTAGCTGATTTGCCTATTTGGAACTTTGATGGTTCTAGTACTGGTCAAGCACCTGGTGAAGACTCGGAAGTATTGTTACGTCCTGTGGCTATATTTAAGGACCCATTCCGTCGTGGCAAGCACATTCTCGTGCTCTGTGACTGTCTTAAGCCTGATCTCACGCCCATTGCCAACAACACACGTGCTGATGCGGCACGTGTCATGACGGCCGCAGAAGCAGAAGTGCCATGGTTTGGTATTGAACAAGAGTACACTCTCTTTGAAAAGGATGGTGTCACGCCCTATGGCTGGCCTAAGGGGGGCTTCCCTGGTCCTCAGGGTCCGTATTATTGCGGTGCCGGTGCCCACTCGGTTTTTGGCCGCGTGATTGTGGACGCCCATTACCGTGCATCATTGTACGCTGGTATTAACATTTCTGGCATTAATGCCGAAGTGATGCCGGGACAATGGGAGTATCAAGTCGGTCCATGCACGGGCATTGATTCAGGGGACCATTTGTGGATGTCTCGTTACATTCTATTGCGTGTGTGTGAAGACTTTGGGGTGAATGTGTCGTGGGACCCCAAGCCCATTCCCGGTGACTGGAACGGTGCGGGTTGCCACACGAATTACTCGACAAAGGCCATGCGTGAAGACGGTGGAATGGCTCAAATTATTGAAGCCATTGAGAAGATGAAGCTCAAGCACAAGGAACATATTGCAGCTTATGGCACGGGCAATGAACGTCGTCTTACGGGACGTCATGAGACGGCCAGTATGGACACGTTTTCGTACGGTGTTGCCAACCGTGGTGCGTCGGTTCGTATTCCACGTGTGGCGGAGGCTGAGGGCAAGGGCTACTTCGAAGACCGTCGCCCGGCGTCTAACATGGACCCGTATGTGGTGACGAGCCGCATTGTCAAGACGACGATCCTGAACGAGGCGTAAGCTGTGAGGGTGGCTAGCTAGCTAACTGGAGCTTGAGCTGCCATTGCCGGCGCAGACTTGTCTTTATTTGCAGTGGTTAGTAGAGGTTGACCGTCGTCATATACGTCGATCAGCGACTTTGTTCAGAATCTCCCCCTTCCTCTATATATGCACAAAATACTTTGTTACTGCGCATACTGACGAAAGAGCTTTAGAGTTGTTTCAATGTGGTCGAGTTACGAATCATTGTACTACAGATCGTCCATTGACAAACGTTAGTCTACAGCAATACCCCCATTAGTGTTGCTATCGTATCGTTTCAATTTTCTACTTTAATCAAGTCAATCCGTAGTAGCTCCTCATTCATATGGCTGATCTGCTGCCATCCGTAGCCAACACATGGACCAACGTCTCTGATACGATCAGTAACATACCAACCATGGTCAAGCTATTGCCCTTCGACGTACCGTCCAAGTTTATTGCCGTAGCTGGCACTGCTGCTCTTGGTTATTACGTGGATCAAAAACTGCTCATCTCGTCGGACATGTATCATTTGAGTATACAGGCACTAGCACTATTAGAAGCTAAACGTCATGCATCTCATGACATGCTGCTACCGGATTTATTCGAACAAAGCGTAGACAAGTGGCCACACAAGTCCTGCATGCAATTTGGTCGACGTGTTCTGAGCTTTCAGCAAGTGGACGAGGCAGCTAATCGCGTGGCTCATTGGGGCTTGCAACGGGGTCTACAAGCTGGTCAAACAGTGGCGTTGCTGATGGAAAATCGACCCGAGTTTGTCATTGTGTGGCTCGGTCTGACGAAGATTGGGGTCGTCACGGCTCTACTTAACACGCACCTCCAGCCAGACGGACTTATTCATTGCACCATGATCGCAGACACCAAGTGGATGATTGTGGGTGAAGAACTGGCTGGGAAACTCGAGAAAGTGGCAGATAAATTGGCTCATATCAGCTTCCTCATCTATGGCAATGGTTGAGCTGCTCCAGCTTCTTCGACAGCTTCGTGGCCACTGTTGCTGATGACGTTGTGTTATTTTTTTATCCTTTTTGTGTAGGGGAGTTGACGGCACAGGCGGCGGCTGCGTATCTGCCTCAAGCGTCTTCGCTGGATCCCGAGCTGAAGAAGATGAAGTTGGAGCGGCCGTCGCAGTTGCTCCGCAAGGACGCCAAGATCACGACATCGGACATTGCGTTGCTGATCTACACAAGTGGGACGACAGGACTGCCAAAGGCTGCACGAGTAAGCCACTTTAGCATCATTCTGCGCTCGCTGGCCTTCAAGTACACCATGCATTTGTCCATGTACGACAGACTATACTGTGCGCTGCCACTCTACCATACATCAGGTGGCAACTTGGCGGTTGGGATGATGATTTTTTCCGGTGCTACTCTGTGCATTTCGCGTCGTTTCTCGACAACCAAGTTTTGGGATGAAGTTCGTGCGTACGATTGCACCGTCATTCAATATATCGGCGAGATGTGCCGATACTTGCTTAATGCGCCCGTGAAGGCGAACGACAAGGAGAACCGCATACGGGCAGCTTTTGGAAACGGATTGCGTCCTGATGTGTGGGCGCCGTTTCAAGAACGCTTCGGTATTCCATCAGTGTATGAATTTTATGGCTCGACGGAGGGACCGATGGGCATGTTAAACGCTTGCACGACGAAAGCCGACCAGGGACATCTCGGTCGTCGTGGCTTTATCAGTAACGCAATCGCTGGTTTCGCAATTGTTAAGTATGATGTCGAAAAGGACGACTACATCCGGTCGGAAAAAGGGTTTCTCCAGCACTGTGCGATCAACGAACCGGGTGAACTGATTGTAAAGGTGAGCACGAAGGATTCCGTGCGAGAATTTAAGGGCTACTATAAAAACGCAGAAGAGTCGTGCAAAAAGGTACTAACGGATGTGTTCAAGAAGGGTGACATGTATTTTCGAACGGGCGACTTGTTTAAGGAAGACGAAAGACACTGCTGGCACTTCTTGGATCGCGTAGGAGATACGTTCCGGTGGAAGGGAGAAAACGTAGCTACAAATGAAGTTGCAGAGGCTGTCTCCAAGTTCCCCGGGCTCAGCGAGATTTGCATTTACGGTGTTGAGGTCCCGGGTAGTGATGGCCGTGCGTGCATGGCTGCCATGGTTTTTGATGAGAAATCATTTGACATGAAAAAGTTTGCGGAATTTGTCAAGCAGCAGCTGCCGACTTATGCCATGCCGCTGTTCCTCCGCAAGCTGGAAACCATGTCAGTCACGGGGACGATGAAGCAGGAAAAGGCCAAGTTGCGAAAGGAGGGCATGGATCCATCGATCGTGTTGGACCGTCTTTGGGTTTTCAACCGAGTCAAAGACAACTATGAGCCGCTCACGAGCGAGACCTACCACCAAGTGATCACGAACTCCCGTCTATAATAGGCACTCGATCTTAAGTAGGTAGCTAAACTTGTGCAGTACCTCCTCATGGTCGGCAATGATGATGTCGATACGTGCTACTTAGCTTTATGATGCTCACACGAATTAGCGTATCCCGTGACAATATGAGTAACCTCACACTGTGGGTCTAACCCCAGTTACGAATTACCGGTATTTTAAAAGAGCACGCAACAAAATCTATATTTTCATGTTAAGTCCGTTAGATTTTTACAAACTACCTTGATTGATTGTTCTTTTCTCAATTTTTGAATCAGTATTTCTAAACGTGAACACGTTTTTTTGCGTCGCTTTTTCTAAATACCCATTTATAGACCGGCTGTTCGATAAAGCACTCTATTCATCCATGTCGACGTGCCCGCAGTGCTACACGGGAACGTGCAAGCGCCACAAGAGCCAAGATCACGGACGGTCGCTGGTAGAGTGCAAGAGCGCCGAGTCGACGTTCCAGAAGATGTACGATCAACTTGTGGGTTCCAAGCTACAAAAGCTCCAGGCCCAAGCCGAGAAAGATCAGTCCAGACAGCACACGAAGGAGTTTCGCAAGAAATTGGACGCGTTGAGGGACAAATCGCTGCGTAAAAGCAACAAAATGCGCTCCAAACGCAACAGTGTGAACGTCACGGGCAGCGGCTTGAACCCGCAGGCGCTGGCCGCCATTTACGGCGAAGAGTCAGACGGGGATCGAAACAAGGACACAAAGAAGAAGAAACAGAGACGAAAAGACGTGTCGACCTCTGATAGGAAAAGACGCAGAGCTGACCGAGACGACTCGGACTCGAGTGAAGACAATAGCGACGACACCAGTGACGAGTCTCATCATAAACACAAGAAATCGTCGTCTTCCAGAAAACACAGTCACCGCCACAAAAAGAGTCACAAAATAAAGAAACACAAACGTAGTTAGCGAGTTGACGTCAGCGATAAGATAAGGACGACGTTAAATTAGAGTAGACCAGTGCATTTGGTTTTTGACAAAGTATAACTTTAATGTTAACCATCAATTTCATCTATTTGCACTTGTGGCTGTGCCAAACGCTTGAACCACGCCTTGTCGTGCATTGTTGTAAACTCTTGTACGTCAAATTCATCCTCTAGAGCACCGTAGCTGTCCGCAGTTTCAAGCCAAGTACGACATTGCTACAAACAGATCATAAAGATTAGAAGCGATTTTTAGGATGATTACGTTACGAACCAAGCTTACCACTTCGTCTTCAAACGCCGGTGATGCATACAAGCAAGCCAGGTAATAACTGCCGAGCTTGTCGTGAAAGTGATGAGCAGAGCGAAGTATTTCAACGGCATGCGTAAAGCGTGCGTTTCCACTCACCTCATGGCGCTTTCGCTTTTGTTTCTTCTTCTGTTGACCAGCGCCGTCTACTAGATGTGGAAAGGACCGCACAAACGCGGCTAGTCCTTTCCCGAGCGTATTGAGCAAATGAGGCACTTGCTCTTCAACCTCCTCCTCGTCCAGCCCTTCCTGATTGTGGGTATCCTTACGGTGGCAGATGTTGTGACACTCTTGCAAATCAAAACCAGCGTCGAGCAGCAAACTTTTGTACTCCGCTTCCAGGTTGTCAAACAGCTTGGTCCACTCGTGAACTATGAACTTTGCGCCTAAAGTAGCCCGCTTCAAGCATCTTGCAGCTAAATAGTTGGTCATCTCTGTTAGCGCCTCAGCACTACCACGATTGAGTGCTATAAATCACAAACAGGCATGTTAGGTAATGCCACACGTGGTCTAACATTCGACAGACTCACCACTAGCTTCTTGATAGAGTGCGATAGTGCGATGGAAATCATCAACACTGCTCGAGTCTTCAAGCAGACCTTGAAGCACCGCTTCAAGCAACTTTGCTTCGGCAAAGTCTTGCACTGTTACCTTGTCGTCGTCTTCACTCTCCTCCACATGCTCTTCTTGTTTCTGCGACTCCACCTGATAAATTTCTTCCAGCCTCCTACATATTTGCAAAGCTCTTTTGTAGTAGCTACTCTTCTTCACACATTTTTTGTCTTCCTCTTGTTCCAAAAATGTCACCAAATCTCCTCCTTCCTTTAGTGCCTTTGCAAATTGAAATCTCGTCTCAAACGTTGTTCCCCCGTCCACTTTCACTGCTCGCTGGAATTTGGCCAATGCTCGATCTAGAACTTCTCGACTCTGCGTCTCCGTCGCTACAATTAGCAGCGACGAGCCCCAGAGCGAGAAACCCACAGGACCCAAAGCTGCATCCACAACGTCTTCATCTGCTCCACCGTTGCTCAACTGCATCATCTGCTCGAACTTGTCCGCCGCAGCATCTGCCAACGTCGGATCCTCATTTAATGACGCAAGACGAGTCAATGCCGTACCCCACAGGAAATAAGCATCCAGCTGTTTAGAAATGGGTAAATTTTCATGACTTTCCAGCAGCCGTTTCACCCGTTTCCCAATTTGCCAAGTTTCTAAAAAAACACAAAACTCCATAAATTTTTTTAAATTACGTGTTGTAAATATGGAAAATAAACATAAATTACGTTTTTGTGATGTCTCTTCATCTTGAAGCAAATCATTGATACTGGAAAGCTCGTCGTCGACTGCTGCTTGGTCATTGTGGCCTTGGTCATTGTGGTCAATGGCTGATCGCTTGCTGGATGGATTCGTGACCGCATCGTTGCTGGCCGTGCGCTTCTCCATTGATTTGATTGATATCAGTGTTAAAAGAATCGGCTTACTTAGTGTCGTATGAGGCTGTATAGTGAATGACGTAGAAACCCCCCAATATATCAAAATCTGATTGGTCAGAATGCTAACCTCATAAAAGAAACTTAAAGCTTATAAAGGAGCTATAAACCTCATAAGTAAGAAAGTGGGGGATGATTAGCGCTTTTCCCTAAAACATATTGAAATTACCGATTCACTCGCCGTCGTTGTCTTTCCTTGCTTACGAGTAAAGCGTAACGTCAGACAAATTGAGTAGTCTTCTGACCTTCTACGATGCATATGCATACCAAAGCTAGCAGTGCGTTGTAAGATATCTACTAAAGAGATGCGAACGACGTCTCCCATCCGATCTTGCTCATGATTACATCGCCCTGTTGATACACGCTGCGGCACATCGTAGCCGTCGAAATAATTAGATCCATTAACCGAGAGCCGAGCAGGGTAATAAAGGCGCACTTCTGTTCATGCTGCTTATGGGTGTCATTTTGACTTGCCGCATCGAACAAAATGATTTACATCAGCTACTGCAGCCTCGCCTCGCGTGGCACTGCTACAACCTTATCGCTGCAGTCGCATCGCGTTTATCGCGATGGCTTTCTCTTTTGCATCTGTAACGGTTTCAATGCTGGTCTTAAGACATAGTAAACCTGCACATGAATATAACGACAACAATAGGGTCACAGACGATCGAGTAAGTACAAACTGCTCCGACTCCGGGGCTTATACATGAAATTCAAAAGAACATTCAGTGCCGTGCTCCATAGTCCAACGAGACTCACTTTATGCCTAAAACTAACGTAAAACACGTTCACGCAGTGTTTGCTAGGCAGGATGGAAATGTATGGTCACACCCTAGAGAGTGCGATGACTTCCATCATACATTTTCTTTTTGCTTCTATTTACTATGAAAAATTCAGCAGATTGCCAAAGTCTTCGTCGCGATGGGAATAAGCTTTAGCTAGCTCTAATATGCCTATATCACCGTGAATCTTGAAGACCGACTTCAATGTTGACTTCGAAAGGAGTGTGGGTGATTTTCCCGCATACTTGACCCACGCGTCAAAGTCTAAGGTGCGTGGTTGTTTGGTATCACGCCGGTCAAGCTTGAGCAACTTGAAAACGAGATTCGCATCTACTTTCCGCTCTGTCATCAAGGACTTAAAGCAGAATTGACCACGCCATCAGTGCCTTCAATCTTTCTCAAACCTTCAAGAATTGCCACACGCATCACGTCGTCGCAGGTATCTATCGCCTCCACCATCTCTTCAATCCCGCCCTCTTTGGTGTTTCCATACTTGACCCACGTATTGAGCAGTTTTTCGCGAAGAAGGGGGTCAGTTGACTTGTCAAGCCGCAAGTGACTGAGGGCTTCTTCCATTGGTATATTCTTCGCCTTCCAAGAGCCAATTAGCTCAGTTTCCAAATGATGTATTACACCGTCTGCACCTTTGGCCGTTATGAAAGCCCCAAGCATCTTTACACGGCCTTCATCACCGTAAAGATTCCACACCTTCTTTCTCAAGGACTTCGAGAAAGAGCTGGGTACCTTTTCTGCCACATACTTGACCCATGCGTCAAAGTGTAAAGTGCGTGGTTGTTTGGTATCACGCCGGTCAAGCTTGAGCGACTTGAAGACGAGATTCGCATCTACTTTCCGCTCTTCCAAATAAGTCATCAAATGACTTAAAGCAGAACTGACCACACCATCAGTGCCTTCAATCTTTCTCACGCCCTCAAGAATTGCCACACGCATCTCGTAGCTGCAGCTATCGATTGCCTCCACCATCTCTTCAATCCCGCCCTCTTTGGTGTTTCCATACTTGACCCACGTATTGAGCAGTTTTTCGCGAAGAAGGGGGTCAGTTGACTTGTCAAGCCGCAAGTGACTGAGGGCTTCTTCCATTAGTATATTCTTCGCCTTCCAAGAATCAATTAGCTTAGTTTCCAAACGATGCACTACATCTTTTGTGCCTTTGGCCGTTATGAAAGCCTCAAGCACTTTCGCAAGGCCACCGGGACCGTAAGTTTGCTGCACCTTTTCAATAATTACATCTGAAACGGATGCGGATACCTTTACCGCATACCTGACCCACGCATTAAAGTGTAAGGTGCGTAGCTGTTCTTTGTAAAGCTTGAACGAATTGAAGGATTTCTCCACAGATTCTCTATTTGTCAACAATTTCCAATAAAGCCTGTTCTCTTCGAGATATGACGCCGACGTGCTGGCAAATTTAGTGAGCGTCTCGACGGTAGGTAGGAGGTCCCTCTCTTTTTCGTTCGTATTTTTTCCATCTCGTAAAAACTTCTGGTTGTGGTGCTCAGGCGTGATTGCAGTCACGATTGTCGAATCCGGCCTTGCCGACGACGTGTTGACATAGTCGAAGAGAACGATAGTAGCTCCGAGAAGCGATGAATACAGACGCATGTGTAGTATTTCGTTGGCTAGGGATCTCTAAGAAAAAGTTGAAATGATGAACTTGCGTTGGTCAGAACTTCGCTATTTGAAATGAGAGAGCTGATTTTTAAGACTCCTTGTTGGGAATTTAACGACTATATTGTTACATTTTATGGCGTTAGACTTTGCTGGCCAGTCGTAGCTCAGATTTGCTAAAGCATGGACTGCCCGATGTAGCTTCATAGAATTACTCACGTGTCAATTAACATCTGTATAGCGATATTCCGAATGGTGATGTCACGTCAGCTTACAAACAGACAGCCACACTAGGGTCATCAAATTCATCAGTATAATAGGTCCCACTGTCGTATCGTGTATATGTATTACGCTTAAGGTCGTGCAAACTGCAATTTGCATTCGTGTCATCCTCTTTTCACTCTTATGTAAGGGATCTGAGCCACTACACATATTATTAAGACATGTACAAACAATAGCATGAGAGTACGAACGAGACGCTAGGTTGCACGGAAGAAATTAGAGTAGAACAAGCCCAATCTCTTAACATTATCATCCAGGGCATAGAATCCGCTAGGTTGCAATCATGATGCTACTGTGCGCAGCTCAAGTTGGCGTTGTCCGAAACGAACGGTGCCAACCTTCTGTACACTGTCAATCAAGTTGTCGTCTATCATTCTTCGACAACTTCTATGTACTTCCTCCCTCCCAGACAGTGATACCGACCATGAGCATTCTGGAAAGTAGTCTCCGCAACACCACGTTAGGTTGCAATCATGATGCTACTGTGCGCAGCTCAAGTTGGCGTTGTCCGAAACGAACGGTGCCAACCTTCTGTACACTGTCAATCAAGTTGTCGTCTATCATTCTTCGACAACTTCTATGTACTTCCTCCCTCCCAGACAGTGATACCGACCATGAGCATTCTGGAAAGTAGTCTCCGCAACACCACGTTAGGTTGCAATCATGATGCTACTGTGCGCAGCTCAAGTTGGCGTTGTCCGAAACGAACGGTGCCAACCTTCTATACATTGTCAATCAAGTTGTCGTCTATCATTCTTCGACAACTTCTATGTACTTCCTCACTCCCAGACAGAGCTCTGGCGCGAGGTAAGCCTCAGTAAACGTCATATCTTGCTCATGCCCCTTCGCCATCACAGTACGCTACCGACGCGTGACAGATTAATTACCTCACCGTCTGCCAGGTGGCACTCGGGCTTACAATCTCGCACATCCTGTAGAAGAGACGCGTTGTTAACTAGGTGGCGGCTGGAACCACTGTCTCGAAGCCTTATTCGTCGCTGTTTTCGCTAAGCGTCAATGTAAGGTACGACACGAACCCGTTTTGCTGGCGCCTTAGCCAATTGCGAGCACAATGTTGCCGCGCTCTTGCCGCGACGGCCGCTGTTCGTATCGCCAGTCTTCTTGCTGCGATAGTCGACTTTATCGTGTCCTGTCTTTCCAGGTGTGCGTCTCCTTGCGCGACGTAAAATCATCCACGTGCGCGACGACCTCTTTTCCAAAAGATCCTTTTAGGTCGGACTTCCATCTCGATTGCCTGCGCGAAATGTGCGAGCTCTTCGGCGTGCACTCGATAGTCGACACGATGCGTCTCGTACTTCGCCATCAGAATCGTTGATAGCTCGGTCGATGCATACCGCACGATGTTATCGAGCACCTGCCTGCTCGGCTCCGCCATGGCTGCAACACAAGGTAGAGGCAGTGCTCTGGCGAGGACCGCTTGACATCCTTCTCCATCATGAAAAGTTTCATCGCCTGAACTCGTCTTGAATTTGCCAAGCATACGCTGCATTACGTATTATAAAGTCGGTATCATCGCCCACCATGTGTCGACCTGTGTGCTAAAATAGCGTTTCGCTGTACCGTACAAGTACTGGCCAAGGACATCAGTCTTAAGTCCACAAAAATTCACACGACTCTTGTGCCATGTCTACTTGTCGCCAAAAGGTCGAAAAAACCGGACCCAAGTCCGACGTACATCTCAATCCCGTCGAAATTTCGGATCGCAAGCTTACGCTGCCTTGCGTCGAGCGTACGATACTGGGTTGGCGAAGGAGCTTGCATCGATTCAGCCGGCGGCGCTTGATGCTGTGGCATCGGCTGGTACGGTGGCAATGGAGGATGCGTCTGTAAAAGTGGCTGTGCGCGCTGCGGCGCAAGCTGCTGTTGCTGTTGCCTTGGCCTGGGAGCCATGATATGATCCGTACCCGGACGGGGAACTTGGTGGCCTCGCAAGTCTGACCAGCCTAGCGCGTCACGATGTAGCTTGCCCGCAAAGTCTGAGCCAAGCATCAAGCTGAACTTTACGCTTTTGGCAGCGCCACGCATACGTTTTTCTTGGTCCATCCTGGCCTGGGACGAGCTCTATCTTCTTCATGCGCTCGTCCATTCCACTCAGCATTTCAAGAACCTTCTCATCGCGTCGGCCTCCGCGCTCCTTGCGTGAGCGTGCGGAGGGATGACCACGGCAGGCTTTGACGCATCCCTTTCGTGACTGGTTGTCGGCGGGGCCTGTGCCGTATTGGTATCATCGGTTGCCTCT